GACGAGAGAGAGGAGAGAGAGAGAGAGAGGGAGAGAGACGAGAGAGAGAGAGAGAGAGAGAGGCGAGAGAGGCAGAGGAGAACGAGACGAGAGAGACGAGAAGAAGGAGACGAGATGACAGGAGACGAGAGGAGAAGGAGACGAGGAGGGAGAGAGAGAGAGAGACGAGCGAGAGAGGAGAGAGAGAAGGAGCGGAGGACAGAAGAGAGAGCAGGAGCGAGAGGAGGAGAGCAGACGAGAGAGGAGGAGAGAGGAGATGAGAGAGAGGAGCGAGAGACGAGAGCAGGAGAGAGAGAGAGAGGGAGGGAGAGAGAGAAGCAGAGAGAGAGAGGAGAAGGAGGAAGATGAGGCGGAGAGGAGAGATGAGAGAGACGAGAGAAGAGCAGGAGAGAGAGAGAGAGCAGAGAGGAGAGAGATGAGAGAGAAGAGGAGAGAGGAGACGAGAGCAGACGAGAGAGAAGCGAGAGAGGAGCGAAGAGAGAGAGAGAGAGAGAGAGAGAAGAGAGACGAGAGAGAAGAGAGAGAGAGGAGAGAGGAAGAGAGAGAAGAGAGAGAAGAGAGGAGAAGAGAGAAGGAGAATGAAGAGAGAGAGAGAGAGAGAGAGAAGAGAGAGAGAGAGAGAGGACGAGAGATGAGAGAGAGGAGAGAGACGAGGAGAGAGAGAGAGAGAGAAACGAGAAGAGAGAGAGAGAGAGAGAGACGAGAGAGAGAGAGAGTAGAGAGAGAGAAGAGACGAGAGAGGGAGGAGAGAGAAGAGACGAGAGAAGAGAGAGAGAGAGAAGAGCAGGAAAGAGAGAGAGAGGATTAGAGAGAGAGAGAGAGAGAGAGAGAGAGAGAGAGAGAGACGAGAGAGAGAGAGAGAGAGGATGAGAGAGAGGAGAGAGAGAGAGAGGAGAGTGTAGGAATTTTAACTCACGGAAAACATATGCACATGCATATATTAGTTTAAATCATTGCATGATTGAAATTATCATTATCATATAATAATAATAATAATAATAATAATAATAATAATAATAATAACAACAACAACAACAACAATAATGATGGTGATGAAATGGCTCATTCCAAATTCTGCATGCCCATTTGGCTACTTCAAGGTAAAAGGGACCTTTACAATAAAATATTTTCACTAAAGATCCCCCACCTTTTCTGCTTTCGAGAACGGCTCTAGATTTCTTTTTACAAATTAAAATATATTTGTTAGAACTTTCCATCACATTTAGTGACACCAGAGGAACATACAATATCTGGTAAGAAAATATATTTTCTGAAACATACCTGCAGTGATTGGATTGTAACACTGTGAGTATCAGCAGTAAAGTTGAGTGTCATTGATGATTCGGGGCGATCTTTTTCACTATAAGTTAAAGTAAATCCAGTCAAAATACCATTGGACTGTTTGGGTGGACTCCACAACACCTTCACTGATCGATCACTGACTTCATCAAACTGCAAGCTACCCACTTCATCTGGAACTAAAGATATAGAGATGCTTTAAGTGACAAATTAAACTTATTTTCCTAGCATACAATTTTCTTAACTCTGCAGTAGAGGTGCACATGCTCTGTCTGCACCAATTTCTTTTACTTTTAATATCTTTGGCCTTAGGAATCATGTAATTCCAATACCCTCCTACACACTAATATTAATGAGTTCTTAGGCCTTTATTTTATCAGTGTCTTCGTATTCAATTATCAATGACTACTGGCATTACATCTTTGGCTCAGAACATTTATGTAAGGAAAATAATGGATATCCAAATAAAGTGATTGAAATGCATAAACACATAAGTGTGATATAATGTGTTCATTCATTTTGTAATCTCATTTGAATTGTATATAAACTTTCAACCACTTCTCCATTTATATAAATTAAAAGTTAGTTTTCCATTGTTAGAAACTGTTCAAGCTGTGGATTTTTACACACTAAAAACAGTAAAAATATGCCGTTACACTGGGTACTCAAATTTATAAAATAGACATTTAAATAGACACATAAAATTATAATATAAGAAGTTAAATAGGCTCAAACAATTTATTACTCTCAACTAAAAATACAGTAACAGAAGACTTGCACAACAGGAATGTCAACACCAAAATAACACTATGACTTTTGTATGATTATGACAAAGAATAACTGAATACTGCTCCAAATTCTCCAAAGGGAACTGTCTGAAGGATGTTCTTAAAGTGGGCAAAACTCCTTCATTCTTATATACATTTTCTTTAGATTGCCTATGAAAGATCATGCAAAGCAAAATTGTTAACAGCAGAAATGCGCAGCAATGCTGCCTCTGCTGAGACCCAACTGTCAAGCACAAAGAAGAATACAATACATGTAGTTGGTGAAAGTGTATTCAAATATCTCAGAATTTACTATCATGGGAGTGTTTTACAGCTGACTTAATAAACCATGTGAAATGAAAATGAATCTTCTGGGAGCTGCACAGGAAAACAAATAAATATAGTAGTACCTCTTAATGTGAAAGTTATAATGGTAAGTATTAGTACCTTCGTATCAAAATACACTACAATATTTTGGTCAGATATATGATATGCTACTGGAAATCATTTGCAAAAAACAAGCTGCATTTTTTCACTTCAAGGTCTCCAAATAAAGCATTGAATTAAGCCTGTAAGCACTAGGAAAATAGAGTGGTCTCTACTGGTCTATTGGGCACTCACTACTAGCAAAATGGCAGCAAGAGAGACGAAGGTCATAAAGTCAGAGAATGGAAAAAACAGAAAATGGTCAATGGATTACTGAACTGATTGAAAATAATTGCACAAGAATGGAGTGGCATGACAACTTGAGGTAAAGCTTTACAGCATGCTTAGCATTCAATACATTCCTTAACTTTTAATTGCAACAGTGTATGTTGTCTCAACAAAAACAACCAATAATTCAATTTAAATTTTTTCAGGTTGGGCTGCAGGTACATTCACAATTTTTACGATCATAGATATTAATGCATGCAATGGTCTTCAGAAAATGCCAAAGAGGTGCCCTGCATATGCACATGGTCATTTATTGATTGGGAGGAGTGTGGGTAGATGGCCAGATCTGACTGAAAAAAAAGTTCTTGTGTTCACAGAATGCAGTTATTGAGAGGGCAGGAGGACAACAGCGGAGATCCTTGACAGAAGATTTTGGGTACTAATCATTCAAACAGCTAGCATGGTGAGAGAGTTGTGTTGTAATACTTGAGTCAAGTGACTGCTTCCTCTCATGCTGTGGTCATCACAAAGTTCTGATGTTTCGCTGTTCATGGCAAGGCAGCAGAGAGTTCCTGGTTAGCTGATGCTTTCCAACAAGTTCTAATTTGGTTTAAGAGTATATAAACTGTGATTTTCTCAACTCTGTCCCTGGCAAGTATAAGCTGTTAACAGTTTCATCCAATCAGCACCTTAAATATCACCATAGTGACATCACTATTCTGATGTTCAATCTCCCGATTGGATGAAAATGTCAACAGCTGATACCTGCCAGGGGCAGGAATTGCGAAAAACGCAGAATAAAGCTCCTGTCTGTACCATATTGCATGTCTCATATTAGTAGATAAGATGTCATTATCTTGTCTAGGCTAGATGTCATGTCTAGCATGGCTCCAGAGTGGCTATTTCTGGAATTGCTGTTCAGCAGCTTAGGCAGTTCATTTTTAGATTGTCAGAATGTTTCACAAAAATCTTTCTGGAAGGCTCCTTCAGGCAGGGAAAGTTCCTGAGTGGTGACAACAAGTTTTCCAGAGTGTTGTGAAAGTTTTTCTGTTCGCTGGTATCCAGGGACTCTATTCCTTGTATGAACATTGTTCTTTACCATTCTACTTATGACTCAGCACAGAATGATGCAATAAACACTGGCAGCAAATCTTTGCGTATGGGTTTTTGACAGAGTAAGTCATCAAAATTTCAAGGGATTTTTGACATGATGGCCGTGATACTCTCAACATACCAACGATACAACAAAATTGAAAGAAGAGAGAGAGAAAAAAAATCAAATAGTAATAGTAATAATAGTAATAATAATAATAATAATAATAATAATAACAACAATAGTAACAACAACAATAATAATACAAACAAAATGAAGACAAGAAGAAGAAGAAAAAATGAAAGAAGTAGGAGGAGGAGAAGGAGGAGGAGAAGAAGACGAAGGAGGAGGAGGAGGAGGAGGAGGAGGAGGAGGAGAAAAAGATGAAGAAAAGAAAAAAGAAGAAGAAAAGAAAAAAGAAGAAAAGAAAAAAGAAGAAGAAAAGAAAAAGAAGAAGAAGAAAAGAAAAAAAGAAAAAGAAGAAAAAAGAAAAAGAAGAAAAAAAGAAAAAGAAGAAAAAAAGAAAAAGAAAAAAAAGAAAAAAAGAAAAAGAAAAAAAGAAGAAGAAAAAGAAAGAAGTAGAAGGCGGAGGAGGAGGAGGAGGAGGAGGAGAAGGAGAAGGGGAAGAAGGAGGAGGAGGAGAAGAAGATGAAGAAAACAACAACAAAAACAAACATGTTTTACCATCTTCCAAAGTAGATACTGAGACTGCCTCACTTCGTTTTCCATCACCTGGGTCTGTGAAACACAATACTGTTACATTATATTCAGAGTATTTTTCTAACCCTGTTACTAAAGCACTTTGCTCAGCAAGAGGATCAAGAAGACTAGGAGGAACTGTACTCGCTAATGCTTCTTTTCCTCGATCTTCTGGATCACCTATGGAAAAAAAAAAAAGGACATGGTTGAGAACAGATTCACTGTCATTTTCCTGTTCAACATTATTTTAAAATAAATGTTTCTAGTAATATTGCAAACTTTTAATTAATTATAAAATTTTTCGGAATTTTTATTTTTTGAAAATTTTGTGTATTCCTTTTTTGAAAATAATAATTTACAATTCATTGCCTTTTTCAATGAAAAATGTCTGGTACATTCTTTAGTATATGTAATACACACTAAACAGATTTAAAAATTACCTTTCCAAGCTTGTAGTTTGTATCCTTGATTTATTCCATTTATCTTCTGGGGATCAGGGGGCTTCCACCAAACTTTAATTGCAGTAGAATTAACAGCTTCAGCATGAACATCAGTTGGTGGTGCTTCAGGCACTACAACGAAACGGACGTACATAATTTACATTACACAGAGCTATTAAGAACTATTTATTTTGTCAATAACAGCAACTCCTTGACAAGAAAGAGAGACAGAGATCATTGAAAACACACAAAAATGAGAAACAAGCTTTAACAGTAAAGGATAAACAATAGTTGTTTTAAAGTTTTCAAAGTAGATCATAAGACCAATCGATTTTGAAATAAAGAATACTTACCCCCTTCTTTAGTTTTGATCTTAACACCATCACTAAATACACCAACTCCCATGTTGTTATAAGCAGCTATCTGTACAGTATAGTCTTTCCAAGTAATTAAATCTTGAATGAGGTAATTTCTTTGTGCTTCATTCGTAATATTGTGCGACATCCAAGGGCTATCGTTATAGCCAAACAAACGATAACGAAGAACATATCCTAATACTTGGCCATTTCGATGTTCTTCAAGAGGAGGCTGCCACTGAGTGATGATTTCTGATGATGACCTAGCAGATCCCACAAAACCTACAGGAGGCCCTGAAGGTGCTGGAAGAAGACATTTGCCTTATCTAACACACTGTCAACTATACATAGTTTATTTTTGGAGGTATTTAATTGTTTTGCTTTTTAGTCCGAACTTTGAAATTGATGATTGTAAGTCAATTGTATAATTTAAATATACATCAAGTTACACCAATACATACATATATACATACCTCCTTATCATGATTTTAAACATCTAACTTGAAGTACTTACGTTCTTGAGGAAGAGTAACAGCATGACTCGGCTCTGAAGGAGAACCTTCCCCAACACTATTAACAGCACTAACTCGAAATTGGTAACTAGCAGCTGCTTTCAAGTTGGTCAGCATTACCCATCGACTGGTAGATGACACATTACTTAACTCAGTCACCCAGTTTAATATTGGATCTGTTGCTAAAACTGAAAACATGTCAGCATCCATTACACAAAGGAACAACAGTCAAAAGGAAAACTGTACCTGAATAAACATGCATGTGCTAGGTTGCCTATCACATTTAGTATAGCCAGTGAATACAAACCAGTGCTACCTTATACCCCCAGAAAGAGAGTGAATGGAAGATGTGAGTGATTAGTGAAGATGTGTGAACAACATAATAAAATTATCAAGAACAAATTTAATAGTTGTGTTCTTATTCAACAAGGCCTGACAAATTTGTATGGTCATCACTAGATCTGCCTGGTATCTTTCTGAAGTGACACACACTCCAAACTGCAGAAAATCTCAACAAAATACAAAGGTTACTCAATTTGCTTGAAAATTTGTTTTTCAAAAATGTAATTTCATATTATTAAACCACCTTTGCATGCAAATTTTCAAGCTCATCAAGCCAAACCTTCATATTTTGGCTAGGTTTTTGAAGTTGGGACCAGTGTATATCACTTCACAAAGACACTGGGTAGATCTAGCGATTACACAAAACTGTTAAGCATAGCCCCTTCTTGTATATTCCTTTGTAGTAATTTTCTTAGAACTGTCCTCTTAAAATCAGATAAATGGATGTCATTTAGAGCTCCTTTTTTGAAGAATGGAAAACAATATAATAAAAAAATGCCTACAAAAATTCAATGAGTATAATAATTAATTGACGAGCAGGGTATGTATGTCAGGACATTGCTTTACTACAATACTATCATTGTGTGTAAGTATTCTCATAAATTTCAATTGTGCCATTAAAGTTTAAAGGCAAAGTTGAATTATCACTTATCCCCTTATACACAATGATAGTATCTTAGCAAAGCAATGTCCTTGTATACACATTCTGGACAAAAACTTTACTTTTACATGTGCACCTGCCTATTATCAAATAAAAATTTATGAAATAAATATGCTAAATCACTGAGCTATTACAATATCATAAATTATTCATGATGTTTAAAAATGCAATTAGGCAAGACCTTCACTTCATATTATCAGAAGTGCTAAACAAATGTTGTTGGGATATATACAAAAGTGTCTCTGTAAACAATCACTTACCCAAATCTGAAACTTCTCTTTTCTGAATTATATACTTAAGAATGGGACTGTTGCCATCAAAACCAGGAGTCCAGCTTACATTTACAGCTCGCCTTGACATTGTATCTTGACGAACTGCCCGTACATTCACAGGTGCGTAAGGCAACTCAATCACACTCAGTTTGGCTGATCTAGTTTCATTTCCTCCTGATGATATTACAGCACATGTGTAGTTACCAACATCTGATGCACGAACAGCAAGAATTTCTAATGTTCCATCGGATTGGATATTCAGGCGTTGACTGCTTCCAGGAATTATCCTCCTAGAGTAAGCATAAAAACACCGATTTATCAACTGATTGAAAACCACATTCAACAAAGAAAACTATACTTTTATGTACATTAACATACCGATGATTTTGAAACCACGCTATATCAAATGGAACAGATGGATCATTGGACACCTTGCACTGCAATGTAGCTGTATGTCCCAACAATACTCGGGTATCTACTGGTGGCTGAATTATTTGTGTTCTCACTGTGAAGGAATTTAAGAACATACATTTTATTAAAATTGAACTGAATTGACATTCAATATGAGAGATGCATAGACATTGGATAAGAGAGATGTTACAAATTCCTCATCCACTCTTGGTAAGTATCCATTTGACACAACAGGAGAAACATTGAGGCAAGAAAATGTAATGAAATTTTCAATTTGTTTAGTCTGGAGAAGGAGAAGGTTTCAATCTTTTTGTTTTAAGACAAAAATTATATTTCAATTACAAAAATAATTAACATCATGAGTAATTAAGATAACAATGTTTTAATTCATAGATTAAACAAAAAAACTATAATAATTACTAATTTCAAAATTACAAATAACTTTATGGGCTATTAAATTAATGTCAGCTTTTTTCCAACACAGAAGTTTCTCAATAAAATACTAACCGAGAACCGAGAGATATCCAGTAGCTTCTACTGATCCAGCTTCATTGGTTCGAATACAGGTATATGGACCTGCATCAGAGTTTCGTACAGCCGCTATAAGAAGATCACCGCTCTCTAGAACTTGAACTCGACCTGATGCCTCTATTGGCATATCATCTATAATAAAAATAAAAAAAACATCCACAATGAAAACACATTTTTGAAATGATTGATTTTTGTGCTAAATACAGGGCACAAATTGAGACATTTTAGAACATATTACAAAAAGCATTATTATAGGTGTATGAAAATATCACAAAGCTCAAAAACAAATACAGAAATTGGCTCGTATCCTACAAGTTTACAGTCAAAGCAATTTTGTAAGAAAAATTGAATAATATCTTACCTCCATAAATCCAAGAAGCATTTGGGTTAGGAGCACCAATTGCTCTACACAGAATTGTAGCATCTTTTCCATCAAGCACAGTAACATTCTGAGGAGGAGTTTCCATTATAGGGCCAGATGCTGTATAAAGAAATAAGTTGTGATCATAATCATAGACAATCATGTTTTTTCATCTTATGGGGGAAACAATATTTAAAAATTTTAAAAATTGTGCAAGAAATACATAATTTATTGAAATAATCATCAACATCACTACTGCTTATCATTCCCTAACATGTAATAGACTTGAATCAAATTAAAAAGGTTAAATTTAAATTACTTCAAATTAATTTATATAGATTAGAGGACTCTAATGTAAAGAAAAGATTCTGTCATTTTTAATGAGATTCATCTTGTATTGTACTGCACTAATTACATTAAATTATATTTAAAGTTGTAGAGTGCCTTAAAGACTGTTGCTAATTGCACTTTAGATTTACAGCTCATTTTCACATACACACATCAAGGAGGATCATGAGCATGCATAAATTGAAACTAGAGGACAAGTCAATCCTATTTATGGAGCATCTGTATTACAGAATTCCTAAATGAAATAATTGAAACATTAACGCAAATAATACATTTCAAATAAATTAAAAATGTAAGAATTAAAAATTTCAATATTAATAATGAAGAAATTAAATAGCATACAAACATACAAAATTAAAAAACACACTTGCACTGATATTACAAAATAAATAAAATAATTATAACAAAGATACAAAAGTGAATCATCTTTTTACAATTTTCTAGAAATATTATTTGATTCAAAATATTCCCTTCCAATATGTAACCTTTTCAAAATATGTTTTAAAGTATAATTTAATGGCAAAAATAGTCTAAGAAATTTTATAAAATTTTTAGAGTGCCCTCAAATAATTAGCAGAGCTACAGCAGCTTTGGACTCTCTCTATGTGCAAGCCAATGATAATGAAGAAAATTAATGCTTCATTATTTTGTCATCAGTAGTCCAGAAAAATGAGGTACCTTCAATTCATGTTACAAGAAACATGAGCAAGAGCCTTTATACAACACAAGTCCATCAGTCTCCTATGCTATTTATTATTAAGACATTAAACTTGAAGGGAGATTTAAATCTAGAAATATTAAGAGATGTGGGGGAAAAAATGTTTCAATTGTTTCCCTTGATTCATCATATTTTTTCACACATATTTTTCAATATATAAAGAACTAATCACTCAGTGTCTATGTACATTTTTTAAAAAGAGGATCCTGGAACTATGGAAACAGTGAATATGAAAACATCAAAACATGAAATGTTCCCTCTCTACTGGGCAAAGAAAAAATTAATCACTGATTGGGATGATTCTGGGCAACATTAATAGCCTCTAAACATTATTGTTTGAAATGTATAACATAAATGTTATAATGATATCATCAAATAAATTGAACTCTTCCTTATCACTTGATACACTTACATTATAGTTTATTTCCACAAGTCTGATTAATCATAATTAAGTGATCTTGCATATGTGATTTGCAATATGATTTTATAATATAATTTGTCGTCATCTATTTTTTGTTTTATACATGCATTGTACAACTGATTGTGAGTTTTGGATTGGAAAAACTATTTTCATGCAGTCAATCAAAATCACCTAAAACACATTGCAGAACTTCACAAAGCCACTTCAACGAAAATAAATAATTTTTACAACTGCCAAATTAAACTCAAGAAACCAGTTAAGAAACGTAAGAGCTGATGCACTGAAACTGTGACAAAACTACTAGTGCAACCTGTGCTTTTAACAAGACGTACTTCCAGAGAGAGTGCCAACATTAATATGCAGGACATACATAAACAAGCCTGTGCATCCTAGTGGACAGAAATTAAATAATAACAAGCCAATTGGTGCATGATCTACTATATCAAAGAACCATATGGTAGCTTACTGCCAACGGAAGAGTGAGTGGTCAGATCCGACTGCCGCACCCTTACTATGCTACTGAGGACTTGTCGTCGCTGTCTTCCTGCCACTGCAGGCATCAAAAGAAATATACATCACTCATTTAGTACTTTTTCTGGTTGTTATTTTTTATTTATACAGATAGGGAATACAACTCCATAAATTCTGATTGTTAAAATGATAGTTGAAATATTTAATCTGCTACTGAAATATTTAACCACTCAATCAAAAATTTAATACAAAAACTAAGAAAAACAATGTGTAATGTGATGAAGTGTTATGAAGAAAGTAATGTTGAAAGAGAGTAATGCTGAGAAAGAAGTGATTAAAGTCCACTGCTATATGGTAGTTTATATCATAAACCTGTAATTCTATCAGTATTAAAGAAAAACATTTGTTAGGTCTTTACATCACATCTGAGAAGGCACATTTCTACACACAATAGATTTAATCAATAAGCTAAGTAGATGAAACGTAATGCATTTTTATGACATTGGTGGACTCAGAAAGGATCTCTCTCAAAAATCATAATATACATAGAGCAAAGAAACAAACATTTGGAAATGATTGTAAAGCCCCAGACTGTGTAGAGAAGTGGTTGAAGATCAATTTGGAAGATCAATAAGTAGATTCAACTTAAATACAAATTCCCACCTTCCACAACGTGTCAAGGAGAAAAGGGCTTCTTCAACATTGATTGAGAAGCCCCCAATCACCTAGAGATGTTTGAGGCTCATATAAAATCTTGTTTCATTAGAAACGTTGTGTTCAAGGATATTTACAAAATTTAATTTCACAGACTTGAACATTTTTGTAAATGAAAAATGTACTATTGTATTTATCAATAAAAAAAATTTTATCTTTAATCGTTGTATGATATGGTTTGATTTCTTTGTAAAATGTATACATAAGCTTCCGCGGCTCGAATCCATAAATACTCGGCTATCCGGGAGACGCCGCGTCGTTGGCTGGGGTGCCGACGTTTCGCCTGACATGTCGCAGGCTTCCTCAGGGCAAATTGTAAAATGCCTGCCTTTGTGTTTTTTTTATATAACAGGAAATGGTGTTATCAAAAATTAACAGACCCCAAAAAATACAATAGCAAATGGAGATGGGATGACGAAAGATTCCCATTTCATTATTCTAATTATATTTATGGTTTAAATAGATGAAAAATATATTCCCATATTTACTTTTTCATTGCACATGTATGGAGAAATATGTATAATATATAATATCAAATATATAATATATCTTAATTTGTCAATCACACTTGTCTCACAGTCATGCATTTATATCTATAGGGTGGTGAATTAGGGAGAAAATGTTGAAACTTTGAAAATAAGTTGTTAAGTCAATTGTAAGCATACAAATGGCTGAAATGCAATAAGTACTCGAAAGTTGGTTTAAAAAAATACTTTCTTTGTAACAATTTGAATTTTACAAATATGTAACCATCCCAGGAGCATTAAAAAAAATAGATTTCTTTGGCACAAACACGTCATGTTTTTTTGTTAAAAACCTGACCAATTACATACAATTACATTAAAATTGCCCAAAATACCAGTACATTGGATGGAGTAGTGAGACCACATTGAACTGGACAACACTTTTCAACTTTAGAAGTAAAATATACCTTCATGACTTCTTCTGAAATACTTTCCTTTCTATACATGTTTTTCAAAAATTCTGTTTTCTTTTTCGAACGCATTTCTTGACTTTCTGGGTATTTAAGTAATAAAGAGCATAATTCGCTTTTATTTAAAATTCTTCGTTTTCATAATTATTAATAACTAAGTCCCAAAATAAACATTTCTCAAGCAACAAGTGACAACAGTGCATCCACACAACACAACTCCTAATTCTTGCTATCATTCTTTTAATTTTTAAATCCACGTCACACAGTTTTAACTATGACATAAATGAACGAAGCAAGAAAGAAAGGAACGAAGCAAGAAAGAAAGGAACGAAGCAAGAAAGAAAGGAACGAAGCAAGAAAGAAAGGAACGAAACAAGAAAGAAAGCAAGGCAGGCAAAGAATGCAAGGGAAAAGGGGGAAAAGGGAAAGGAAATGAAGGAACAGAGTGAGTGAGAGTAAGTTAGCAAATAAATAAGTAAATAAACAACAAAAAGTTCAAATGATCCATGGCCTCACATCAACTCACAGTAACATGAGTCACATGTCACATGGGTCACATGTCCCATGACCGTCAATTATTAAACGGAAATATGAGTTTTAAATTTTTTTAATGTTGATAAAACTTTGGGCGATATTCACATTGCAATAAGATGTTATTACAATACATATTTCATAAATATCAATTAATTCGGTTGTTAAATGCTTCCGTGAATGCCCATGTATTTACTTGTAATGTTGAAGTTTGTGTTCTGTAGTACACCATGGTTTGCGTAACTGCACATGGTTCGAAATATGACTGCAAAGATTCACTCGCAAAACATATCAGATGGCGTTATTCATTTGTTAAATAAAATTTAATAAATACTGCTAAATTAGAAACAACTTATATTTTAACCTTTTTTTTTTTTTTTTTTTTTTTTTTTTTTTTTTTTTTTTTCCGATTTGGAGGGTTTTAATATGCTGATGCTCGCTTGATTTCTTACACCCGAGCGCGCATCTTGTGCCGCTGTTCGGAAATCATCTATTGAAAGAATATAGAAATACTCCACTATAGACCAAAATCTCCAGGCACGAAGTCTGCAAAGGTGTTCTACATTACCAAGTACTATGTAATATTTGATATTACTATGCTTTAAAATGACAAACTGAGGAGAGGAATGAATGAATGAGATAGCAAAAAGAATTAATACTAATCTCAATATTTTAAATCGAAAATTAGGTGAACTCACAAGTCATCACGTTAGTAGTTTAAAATGCGCAATAATATTAGGAGCAATGCTATAGAAAAAGACAAAGATATTGTACTGTAATTCCCATAAAGACGAAAATGTCAATTCTGAAATAATAAACAACATTCAATTAAATAAAAGGAAACAATTCTGAAATAATTCATGTATAATTCTGAAATAATTATAATATATTGTACTTGTATTAGTCATTCAATGACTACAATACACTAAGAATAAAAATATATCATGGAGCTAGGATTAGTATTCAAAGCTTCATGATCCATACAAACGCGCGCGCGCGCGAAAGGGCGCGGGGGTGGAAATGCACAAACGCCTACACGCACACACGACTCGCACACGCAGGCTCATAACGACACGCACACGCGTGATCATAACGGCGCTCGATTACACAACACACAAATAAATTGAATTGCTTGATACAAAGGATATGGAAAAAGAGAAAAAAATCTTACTTTTAACTTTAAGCCATGTATATGTTGAATCTTCCCCTGCCTCGTTTGCAGCAAGACACTGGTAAACACCTTGATCTTCTACATGCAGTTTATGAATAACTAATGATCCTCCTTCAATCACTGAGAATCTACAGGAGACAAATCAGTTGATAAATTAATAAGTAAATAAATATATTTCGATAATAATGATAAAAAATGTTTAAAAAGTAATATTTTTATTTTCAACCACTTACAATTCGAAGTTGAATTCAACAAAAAAAATACTCAACTACATAATTTTTGCAATTGAGTTTTATTAAAATGAAAAACAAAACAAAAACAACAACAACCTTACCCAAAAATGTAAATATTCTTTTAAATATCAGCGTATAGGAGTTAAGTACCATTCATTATATGTACCTAAATGATTAAGGAACACGAACCTTTCTCCAGGAAGCTGATTGACTGGCTCAGCATTACGATACCAGGTGATACTGGGTGCTTGAACCCCCACAGCTTCACAAGGTAGAGTGACGGTCGATCCATATTCACCAAGTGTCTCTGTTCTCATGGTACTTGTAAATGACGGTTTCTCTAAAAATATATCAATCAATGAAGAGAATGAAAGTTAGGAATTTCATTCTATTAAATTAGAAATCAATATCATTGAGCCTGTTAATGTTGGTTAAATTAAATTGAACAATAGAACCACAATTTGTCATTTTATAATTTAAAGTTTTCTGGTTAATGCTAATATTAAATAAGAATCATTCATTTTTCAGAATACTAATAGTATTCAGATTTTTATTAAATTTTTAAATTGCACATCTCTGAAACAAAATCTAATAGTTGTTGATTTCATAATATTATATTTTATTTCAAGTCAAAAAGTTAAGTTTAATTTGTTTCTTACCGAGGACAACAACATTGGCAGAGGCAGTAAGTGCAGAAAACTCTCCACTGCGAAGACGAGCTTGACAACTATACTGCCCCGTGTGGGTGAGATTAGCACCCACCAATGACAACGTCAAATTCCATGGATCACTAAAAGCATAACTTATACCTGAAGTCTCAATTGCTATTCCGTCTTTATACCAAAGAGTTTCCACCAAATGAAGAGGTCTAGAACAAAAGTATCACTACTCATTATAACAAATAATTAGAAGAGCACTATATTGTGGAGTGAATTAGTTTCTATACTTCGTTTTTTATGACGTGACGCGTCCAGGTCGTCAAGGGCCGCCTTCAGGATGGAATATGTCGCGACATTTTCTATCTTTCTCAGTCGTGCCGCTAGTTGTCGCATGATTGCGACCGTATGAAGTAGTGCTGCGATTATGAGACATCAGGCGGCACGACCAAAAACGACGTGAAATGGTGTGACATATTCCTTCGTGAAGACGCCTTAACGCGCTACGTTGTAAAAACCGACGTATAGTTCCTTTTTCAGTCTTTACCCATTATCCTAAACAAGAATGTTTTTAAAAAATCCTAACTGATTTTCGGTATAAGGAGACCCTGATAAAAATCCTAACTGATTTTTGATTACATCAAACATATTAAGTACTCTTGAGTCAGGTGAAGGAACTGATAAGATACACTACTGATTGAGACATCAGATGTCACTGATCCCAAAATTAAAATTACTGCAGTAATGGTGTATAGGAAATAATTTTGAAATTTGTATAATAAAAGTAAAAATAAGAGTTATTAGATAGTTTATGCAAGATGAGAAGGGATTTTTTTATGCAAGATGAGATGAGAAGGATTAACAAATAGTTTAGGCATCTACTGAAGTGTCCTTCTCATAACATATCTCTCCCTTTTATAAATGCACTTACCTTGCATTAGCTACACATTGAAGTAAGGCTTGAGGTTCACCTTTGACAACACTGATATCTTTAGGTCGTACCACAAGGGATGGCTCAACATCTCGATTTGGATCTCCTCCAACTACTAAACGAATGTAAGCGCTATTTTCTTCCTTTCCCAAAATTGTATTTGTAGCTCGAGCTCTATAATAACATAATTAGCAATTAATTAATTTAATCACGTATTAGAAATTAACACTTCGTTCACACTAAAATATTGTAAAACTGTCACCTATAGGCTTTCTCATCAAGTTTATCAGCTTCAAGTATTATAAATTTATTGTCAATTGTTGTCACGTATTTTCGGTCATATAAATTTGCTCCATCATCAGCCATCCAGTTGACAGATGGTGGGGGATGACTTTCAATGGTTGGAAAATCCAAAATAGCAGCTTCTCCATTTTCAACACTAACTGTGCGTTCTGTGAGATCTTCAAATTGGCCCATATCTGAAAATAAGTAAGCACACAATGCCAATAAATCTTTATTATTAATTTCCAATGCATGCAGATATTGAAAGAAAACTTTGCTGTCTCCGGCCACCAGAGGGGTGTGTTGTTAGATTCCCCCCAAAAGGCGGGGAAAATCCCAAAACATGAAACAGATGCGATTATTAATGAAAAATGCCAATATTTGATTGTGTTATTCCCTCTATTCTAGTTCTGTGCGTACCGTGCCGTGAATTCTCATACTCAGTGCGTTACTGCTTACAACTCAAATGTCATGAGAAATCAAGGCTCTAAGAAAGTGTTTTAATTTGTCATTCTTGAGCAAAGTATATTCTCTCTGCCTCTCCGTCTCTCTCTCTCTCTCCGTCTCTCTCTCTCTCTCCGTCTCTCTCTCGCCGTCTGTCTCTCCGTCTGTCTCTCCGTCTGTCTCTCTGCCTGTCTGTGCAGAACGCTAGCGCATAAACCTTTCAGCCGATTCTTTCAAAAATTGATATTCCCCAATCGTTCTGGCTGATGTCGGGGCCCCTGGAATTTGAAACTGATATTTTTTGGAGGGATATTTTAAATGTAAGCCGTCGGACATTTTCAAAATTTTAAAAAACATAGCTTCAAATTTTTTTATTAAATTTTGTTGTTGAATAGTGCGAATGACATTTTCAAATTTTCCAAGTTTAAGAGAATTGTGTAGATCTCATTTTCTTTAAAATCCCTGATCTGCCCAAAATTTCAAAAATAAATTTTAAAACGACAATACTGAAGACAGAATTTTTACCTCAGACAAAGTCTGTTGTATAAAATTAACTCTTTAAATATGTCATGTACAATTTTGTGAATAAATTAGTAATTTTGCGTAATTTGCGTTTGAAATTTACGCGATACGCAAAAACCGCTCCAATGTTTTTCATTAAAATTTCTCTACATAAGGTATAAGGGACGGTAAACATATATGGTGCTAGTCTCTTTTTCGAATATTGTTTCATCGTATCATTTTGTTTTGAAAAATGACAAAAGAATCAAAACTACAAAATTGATGACAGACAATATCCCCTCAGACAAAGACTGGAGTGCAAAAATTGCTCTTTAAAAAATGTCATGTACAATTTTCAGTAAAAGTAAAAGTTAGTAGATTGGGATTGGGCCCTCTCCTTTGTATTGTGACAATGACACTCGTTTCCTCGATGTGAAAGGCCAAGGAAAATCAAGCTGTACTCACATGCTACGGTGACGTCAATGTTCTCGCTGAAAACAGAGCCAGCAGCGTTGCGCGCCACGCACCGATAACGACCAGCATCCTCTCGCTTCGTGTTGAAAATCTTGTAGAAATGATCGGAAGAGAAGTCCGGTGTGAGCGGCTTTCCATCCTTTCGCCATTGGTATTGTGGCTGAGGATGCCCTGCAACACAATGCAAATATTTAAAATGCCTATTGAACTGCTCATGAGACGTACCTACGTATGTGTTATATGCAATGTATGTCTCACACAACACACACACACACAACAACTATAATATATATATATATTATTAATATATATTATATATATATATATATATATATAGATGATATATATTCAATGGGAATATAACATTATCAGCTACTACGATTTATTGTAGTTCCAATGCCAGATACTGAAAGAACATATTTTACAACGAAATCTGGACACATGAAACTGTTTTTAAAACGGTTTTCAGCGTTGGCGACGCCACATTTTACATTTGTGTGTGTGTGTGTGTGTGTGCGCGCGCTTCAAGATTTTTGGTTCATTACATATTTCTGATAACTCCAAAATACAATTGTGGCGTCGTTAACACGAGGGCCAGAACCGTTAGGTCGGTGAAAGTGCGCTGCCGGGGAGGAAGGGGTTGAGCCTGAACTTCCGGGATTTTGCGCTCTGGCGGTTGACTCAGGTAGAGCTGCAGAGCCAAAAATAACCTTAGGCTGTAAACTCCGAGGATGCTAGCCAGCGAGCCTCGCTTACCGACAGTAGGCGAGCCAACCTGAGAATCTTTTGTATCGGGGTGTAAACCAAGATGCTGACCAGCGAGCCTCGCTTGCCGACAGCAAGCGAGCCTATCTATGGAACAGTGGTGGTGGTGGTGGTGGTGGTGGGGGGGTCAGCCTCAACTATTTAACGCGGCGCCATCTGCGCCCGCGTTCTCATTCAGTTTGCATCGGGGAGCTTGTACGTGTATGTACAAGGAGTGTAGGAGTGTGGGCGAGATGTCCGGAGAGTAAGGGTCTTACGATCTCGCGTGCTGTAGGCACACGGTCGCTACGACCGGTTTAAATTTTGGCGCCAGGCCATGTGACGGTAATTGTCACGGAACGGAAGTCCGACAGCTCGCATCACGCGTGGCTTTTATTTTTCTGCGGTAAAGCAGGGTACTGAAAGGAAAAGGTTGCCGGAGTGTTTCATAATAGCAATTTCTTGTAACTTGTTCATAATCTTTTAATATACTATTTTTATTTTGTTATTTGAATTTATTTCTCATTTCACTACGTCACACATTACAGTTATTTGCAAGTATCATTGGATTTGTTGCAAAAGTATACAGTGAAATGTACAATTGACGCAAATTCAAGATTTCAATATTTTCGTTCTTCACGTTTTATTCTAAGTTGTCCATATACTTGAATGGTGCTGCAAAGCCTCTTGCACTGTTGGATCTTTTTCTTCACTTTTGCTTTTACTTCTGCATTACTACTGATATTTATTTAAATAAATATTTTCGCATTAAAATAAATATTTCATCATTAATAATGTATTCAAAATATAATATTTTTTAAGTTTTTGCAGGATAAAAGAAAATATTTTCATACTTTTGGTTGTGGGATCTTTTTTTTAAGCCATTATCAAGTGGCAGGGTCTCGTGGCTAGCTGTTGGTCGGTGTGCTCGCTTTCCACTACGCAGCTCCGAGTTCGATTCTCGGTGAGGCAAGATTAAAGTGTGCGTTTTCCTTGCAATGCCCCAGCATATGTTGCTGTGTGACGATGAGAAAATTCACGTCTCAAGTTGAGAAGACCGGAATACGGCGAGGGGATGTCTACGTGCGAACCTCACGTACTCCCTTCATCCATGGCTGGGAGGCAGGGACGTCGCCGGTAGGCCTGCACTCGGGCTGTCTCGCCAAGTACATACATACATATATTACATACATCAAGAGGCAAGGAAACCGAATCACCAGAACTCTCAGAAATCCCTAGCGAGAATAGCGAGCATTTACCCGTTAGTCGCGAATAATTCCTGGAACTGCTCGGGTTTCAGAGAGTTGAAGGCATTGCGTTCTTTCCTGGTAAAACGGGTTGCGGCAGTGTGCGACGAAGTATTTACAAGAAAGACCTACCTCCTACTATCGTTTGTTCGTTCGTCAAGAAAACTAAATTCAGTACAGCAGCAAGTTTTTTCACCAACGGCCAGTTTCTCCCTTGTGTATGCGAGGATGTCGAAAGTAAAGTGTTCAGCTGCTGAAAAACTAAGAACATTTTTTAAGGAGTTTAAAGGTTTTGCAGAAATATCGGAAACGTTCTGTTGTGTACATATTATGAAACAAAACTATGATCAATGGTGTTTAGTATTACACTAGTTGTCTACCACCAAACAAAAATATAAAGAGAAACTTCACAAACAGATGACAAAATTTGTTGCATTTGGTTGACTGTGACCACTCGTGTGTGACTTTAACCTTGATGTAGATAGGAGCCATGCAACTCGCTCACATTTCTCGCGATGGCCGCAGAGGTAGTGGTGATAAACTGGTGGAAGTGTTTGTGGTTGTGATGGTGAAAGCGGTATGGCAGGCGCCGTAAGTGTTGAGGCTAGTTTAGATAGCGGTGGCGATGGAGGTGATAAAGGTGGTAGTGTGGTGGAAGTGGCAGTGGCAGGGATAGGGGCAATGGTGGTGGCGACTGCAACAATGGTGGTAATTATGGTGGCAGTAGTATCAGAGGCGGCATCGGTGTAGGAGCTGTAAAATTCGTACAGCATGGTTAAGGCAGATAATTTTAAAAACAGAAAGCAGGATTATCAGTAGATAAAAATTTGTAGTAAGAGAACGTAACCGTCTAAGGAGAAGAAATGTGGGTATTTATTACTACATTCGTAACATTAGTGATATGAAATGTACATTAATATATAACAGCATGCCCATAGAACATGCAAATAAAACTTCTAAAACACATTGTAATAAAAATTGTATGAAAGGAATGTATAAAGAGTATGAGATAAAAATGTTATTTAATACTTACAAATAATTATTTTGAATGTATCATAGTTATAGTTAGCCAAGCATTCAATGCAGCTAAAAGAAATGGCTAAGGGGCAACCGCCAAGCTGCTTTCCATCTTGCCTTATGTTTTAAGAAAAAGTACTCGTACTGTTATTAGTGACTATGTCGGTGGCGGCGTTGGGGGAACTGAAGATAGAGGTGCTACTGGAGGCGGCGGGGTTGCCTGTGGTTTAGGTGATGTTGACGGCGATGGAGGAAGTGGTCTTGGTGGTGGTGGTGGTGGGGGGGGGCGAGTTCTTGTTGGAGATTCCTGGTTTGGACGTGGTGGTGATGGTGGAGGTTCTGTTGGTGGTACTGTTAGAGGGGGGTGTAGTAAGGGGTGGCAATGTGTCGTTCGAGTTGGTGAGGGCGTCGTTCGAGTTGATGTTCCTGTTGTTGGAGGAAGTGATGTTGGTTTTGGAGGCTGTGATGGTGGTGAAGGCAGTGATGGTGTTGGTGGTGGAGGCAGTGATGTTGTTTGGTGGTGGAGGCAGTGATGTTGTTTGGTGGTGGAGGCAGTGATGGTAGTAGGTGATGGTAGTAGGCGGTGGTGTTGGTCTAGTTGGAGGCGGTGGTGTTAGTATTCTTGGAGGTGGTGGTGTTGGTATTCTTGGAGGTGGTGGTGTTGGTATTCTTGGAAGTGGTGGTGTTGGTATTCTTGGAAGTGGTGGTGTTGGTATTGTCGGACGTGGTGGTGTTGGTATTGTCGGACGTGGTGGTGTTGGTATTGTTAAAGGTAGTGGTGTTGGTGTTGTTAAAGGTAGTGGTGTTGGTGTTGTTAAAGGTAGTGGTGTTGGTGTTGTTAAAGGTAGTGATTATGTTAGAGATAGCCTCGTGGCAGCAGTAACAGCAGCACAGATGGCTGTGGCTATGGTGACGGCGCGGCGTTTCGATTTCACGGGGCCGGTGGGCGCCGGACCGCGACCACACCTCCGCCAGCATCATCGAGGGATGCTCCAGCGCCAACACCAGTTGATGTTAATTTAGATTAAGCGTGGCTGATCGCACGCGCCATTCGGGAGGCATAATGTTGTAATCAATGCGCCCTCCGAATCAATTCTAATTTATATGGCACTCTCTGATGAGCTATGCGGTCGAAAATCAATCCACGCCCTCTGGGCCGTCCAGGCGCCGTGGAAAGAAGTTGGTGGTCGAAGGCAATGGAAAGCGTCAAGTGTTAAAGTCCGAGGGAACACCAGAGTTTGTCCACTTATGCTTGAATTGATACGGCTTTCAGAAGCTATCTACCAAAATGACCTTGTACCCTTAGTAAAGTCATGTTGTTCAACACGCAATTTTTGCCTCATTTTATTTAGATGATAAGTATCGTTACCTCATACTTAGTATCGGTCTTAGGTCTTAGATAACAATCCATTCTCAGACCCAAGGAAAGAGGAAAAATCGAGAAGAAACAGTTCCGTAGCCTGTTCTATGGTTCGTGCAAGAAGTACTTTCAGACATTTTTCTAGTCCGGACAGGGATAACAAATATACAACCGCAATAAGTCGGAATAATTGTCTTCTGACAATTGTACCAGTAATGCCATGTAATTACTCATGAGAATATGATTCTATCGTTTTTAGGACAGCACTCTTGTTATGCAGAATCTCTGCTCGTTAGAAGCGTTGTGTTTTTACTACTGAGATAAGTTTACGACGTACAGCATTACTCTTGAATATTTATTATGGATTACAATTTGAAATATTACTAAATGTGATTGATTGCATTATTATTATTCTTACATCATACCTTTCTGCAAGAAAATAACTAAGTGCGCTTTATATAACACAATGTACGGCGTTATTGATCACGATCGTTTGGACACCGAAATGTATGTGTGCGTGATCCACCTGTAAGAAATCATAAACTCATTGGCAAACACAATGGAAATAGTGTGGATTCTAAGGAAAAGTAGGCTTCTCTTACAGTGACTGGAATTTTGCAGCGAACGTTGTCCCATACCCTAATGACCGTACCCTAAGGCTTAATACAATATAGCTGCGTCTTTGTACTCTCTCGGTGGCCCTGGAAAGTGCAGTTTCAGACCCAAAGCCCGCCTTCTCCCTCACTCAGATTATGGAGTCGCAGTTTTCATGTAGGTGGGCCGTAATATACTGTGTCGACGCTTAATGAGATTTTGTGCGAACGGATAGCTAGCTATAAACTGCAAACTTAGTTGGGTATAAATATTTTCAAGAATAACAAGAGAAATGGAAAGGTGAGTCTGAAGTCATTTCCATAGCTCTTTCTCCCATGCTCCTGCACGCTAATGCGAATTGCAGAACATCATCTGAAGCTTAAATAATACGTTCACACACATTGTTTTATTTTCAGTACACTGTGGATGCGGACAAAAGAATTCACAAAAAGTGCACACAGTATTTCGTATTCAGCGACGTCAGCTATAAGAACAAACCCTCTATTTGCTTCAAACGTCTGTGTAATTTGTAATTTGTAATTTATGGATTATTACAACCTGAATTTGCCACTTCGCAAATTCAAGAAAAATGTTCGGTTATACAGACCAACGGTAGTCATAAAATGACTTCGTAGAACTCTGTAATTAAAAAGCAATCGGCAGAAGCTCTTCCTTTTGAATAAATTGATTGATTTGTTCTTTTTGTTACAGAGTGGCTGTTTGATGTTGAAACTAAAATACGCATTTTTTAAGAAAGAATTTATTAGAAGAAATTACAATATGTACCTATTTTTTAGATGAAAGTTCCGAGTTCATTAGGATTATGCACGGTAAGGCAGTCACCAACATCAATTTTGAAAGCTAAATAATCTGTTTAAGTGGCCATAGAAAAAATGTTTCGAACATTGAGTTCCTTACATTTCAGACATACACTATTTTCAACCATGTATTTTTGGCGAAATACGACGATCGCTTGTATACAAGCGTCTCTATTCCTCCTACTCGTATTTTCTCTCTTTATCATTATAATCGAAATACTGTGTAAACAAAGAGTAAAAGATGAATGTTCTTATTTCATTTTTAATTAGTATTTTGTGAATATTCTGTGAAAAATATTCCAAAAAGGCCCTTCCTATTTTCTAATGAGTAGATTAATGATCACTTCCTTTTGTTCCTTCAAAAACGAAAAATGTTACATACGTTGAACATTCACATTGAAATTTATTGAAAACATTTTTTATTTACAAAATGCTAATTACATTTTTACTGGAAACAAAAAGTAATTTATAAAATTACAAATGCTTTATCAGTAAGAAATGTCAATTCCATTACTTAAACTAGTGATGCTTCAGAATGGAACAGACTTTCACATATTAGTTTTCTATTTCCTGTGGTCTCGGCTAGCTATTCAGACTTGCTACATACTCTTGCAAGCTGCCATGAATCGTCTCCGGTACAGTTTTTTAAACAAAATTCTTAACTTTTCGGTTTCCAAATAGTAGAACCGAAATATTATTTTAAGAATATTAAAGAACAGTAAAACCTCGTTCAAAATGGCAAATTTCTTTGAAAAATTTGAGCCGTTTTTAGAAAAATCAGTTTTAAATGCTACTGTGAAATCGAAATTTGAAGCTAATTCCACTGAAAATTTTTGAGCTCCGAAAAACTTCATTAAAAGTAAATTGAAGCACTTTAACTCACAAATACAATAGCGTTTACAAATTGCTGGAAATGTGCGTATTAACGATGTGAGAGATTAAAAAAAAACATTTGGTAATTTTTGCAATTAAAAAAATACCCCAAACAGAACTTGACGTCATATTAAAGAGTGCAATTAGCACTATCCGAGCTATAAGTTTGAAAAAAAATTGAAACTGTTTTTGAGAAAATGGCGTTTACATGTTTCTAAAAATGCGGAATTTTGAACTTTTTTTTTTCAGAAAACGGATGAGTTTCGAGAAACTTTACATTATTTAAAGCATATGAACTCATAAATATAATGTGAACAAATCACCGCTAATGTAAATATTAAGGACGTGAGAGAAGTAAAAAAATACATTTCTGTAATACTAAAAACACCAAAAGTATAGAGCAAACTGATGTTTACGTCATCTGCATAAAATTACATATATTGCACGCAAAATTCTAACATTTTCAAAAAAGTACATTACCGTAATGAAAGAACTCAGTATGGAGAACAAACTTTATTTGAAGGAAACATTTTTTCTTCAATTTTAAAGATGTAGGAAGACACCCGAAAAATTTTAAAGTTTTCCAAAATTTAGAGTTGCAAATCTGACATATTCCACCTTCATAAGTATATTTTACTCTATTTTAATAAGACATGTAAAGAAAAAAATTGAGCGGTTTTTGAGATTGAAATTAGAGAAAATTTTGAAAATATCCGGGGGGCTTCATGTAATGTATCTCCAAATTTTAAAGAACGTTTTTCAAAATCTCAATGCTTGACTCGAGCCAGATCGACAGGGTCTTCTACAATTTAGAAAAAATCTACTTATGGTTTAGTCGCTAATGGTGTTCACAGACGGACAGACATGGACGGACGGACGGACGGACGGTTGTTTTGAGAAAAAAACACGTTTTCGTTATCAATTGACCCCAAAACGTATTTCCGGTAAAATCTCGAAATCGATTTTTCGCAGAATTACATAACTTCCCATGTACTACATACAATTATGCCGTAAAAGCATATGTATACGGGAAAGTAAAAAGATTTAAATTAATGTTACTGTTCGCAAGAACAACAGAACACCCTGAGCAAACAATACATACAAAGTCTTAATGCAGTTTGTTTTTAGAAGCAAAATAGAATTTTACGTAACCGTTTAAAATAAAATGAACAATGGGGAAAAAAGCTCGTGCACACACATTCGCGCTGATCCAACATTTTGTTGCAACGAATTCAACATTATTGTTCTGCAGGAGACTCCACACATTCGGCATTCGCCCAATCCTGAACAGCTGATGTGTTCGGCGAATGTTCTCACCCTTTGATGCGTGTCCTACAGACCGACACGCGGTGGGTAGGGCGAACTCCGAATGTTCGGCGCTCGGCGAATCGCAAGTAACCCGTCCACAATACTCGGGATTCGGCGAGTGGTTGCTCGGGATTCGCCGAATACCGCAGGTGTGGAGCCCCCTTGAGATGAAAGGAAGAATGCCCGACGAGTGCCTACCGTATATGCAACCCGCACAACACATATGCTTTACAGAACGCTGCAGGAGCGATCAGGCAGCGCCGCACCGCTCATTTTACTACTTCGCCGCTCACAATAGAACGTAGTTTCCACTTGTCTAAATGGTGAGAAGTAGAATCTAATACGATTATTACAGCAGGGACTAGTTTCTTCCTTAAAAAGTTTTTTACACCTTGCGAACAGAATTAAGAACCAAGAATCGTCCTATTTCCTGCGTTTCAGAGTACGATGACGCTGAAGGGTCGACAGCATAGAAAGTATCTTCTATACTATCTTCCGTAAAGGTAAAGGCTGAGTCGATATCAGAGCCGCCCTGAATGGAAATAATCAGAAGCAAATCCCAACCTACGCCAGGATTCGAACCTGGGTTCATCAGGTCAGAAAGCCAGTGCCCTACAACTGAGCAGTAGCAGTTGAACCCTTGCAGTAGTGCACAACTGATTGATTCCTGGCACGTCATTTGCTAAGCACATCAGACCCGGTGGTGCAGTAAATGTACTACTGGAAGGTCGCGGTATTACACCCCCGCTGGATGGCGAGATCCGGCGCCGGCCTACAAGTCGGCTAGAGATTTCCGCCTCCAGGTATCTCCAACTGGGCATCGCCCCTGCCGATACTAATGCCCCTGCCCTAAGCTCCCGACTGGACTCCAGACGTATGTGGTAGTGTTATGCATGTAAATGTGGTTTTGAGTAAGGGGACAGATAGGACAAGGAGGGGGAAGGAAAATCGCGCGCGATCCCTGCTTCGTTTGTTTGCGTACTTCTACGGCATTCGCCTGGTATTAATAGGAGAAACCACGGAAAACTACCGATCAGAGCAGCCGACTGCTGCAAATCTCCAGAGAGCGGCTGAATTTGAACTAGACATAGAGTAAAATGGTGTCGAAAATCCACCACCGTCAGGAAATCTAAAACCTACTGCATAGAAAGTGACAATACTGATGTACAACTGAAGAGTAAAAAACCTTAAGTAAGAATCACATAATATCATTATCACGTTTGTTAAGGTGTTTTCTGTTGCTGGGCGTTGAAGGATGTAAGTAAAATTCGAATTTAACTTTATTGGATAAAACCACCAACCACAGTGAAAGAGTGTGGTTTTTTGTCAGGTTTGGTATCCAACTGATATTTGAAAAGTATATGAAGTGCAGGGATGTCCACTAAAGCTAATGTAGACGTCGCATAACATCTTTCAACCGTACTATTAGCTTGTAGGTTTCTCCTTCGTTCTCTGTCCACGAGAATCGAGCGAGAGGACTTCCGGAGAACTTCCAGACCCGGACACCAACTGCGCCTCCCTTTCTCCTCGCGCAGCGTTGCCCTCCCTCCCCACGCGCCTCGTCCCTGTCGTAAAAAGCTCAACCGGCCCTGCCGCGCCCCGCCGCTTGGCGCCCGCGCCCAAGACGGATGGGCGTTCGGGAGGGGAGCGACAAAAATCGGCTGGCGGCCCCTTGGGGGGCATCTCCTCCAGGCCGACCCCCTTCCGTGGCACGTGCCATGCCCCCTTGTTCGCTCGCAAATCACTCTGCTCTCAGTGGGCGAAGCTAGTCTACATTGATAGCCTCTTCAACACTCAGTGTCTGATACTGCATCTTGTAAACAATGCCCTCTTCCTTGCCCAAACTCAGTTACACGATTCATCTAATAATTTCAATTATGCTACTAGTTTTTTGAGGGTAACTGTAAACGCGATGATCATGGAATTTGACAAGCTAAGAAATAAAAATGATATAAAATTGTCAAATTTAATTTCAACGGTGCTCAGTTCCAAAACAATGACACTATTTTGCGAGTAGTTTGGTCAAATTCAACTGATATGATCGTGACTAATATTGTTCCACGTGAAACGCGAGCTAAGGTCAAGAGGTGGCATGTAACGTAACGTAGTAGGAAATGCGACATTGTCATTTGACGTTCTTCGCGTGCTTGTATGCAAATACCAGATCCCTGGCGTGTATGTCATAATTTTTAGGATTCGAAATTGGAAATGGAATTATTAAACAGAACCCTTTATTATTTGTGGTTTATTAATGACAATACGAAACTTCACTTCTGAAGGTGATATTCCAAAGGCCTGGAACCTTCTTCGAATAAAATATAATATTCCAACCTGTGTAAGTTAGGATATCTTGGTTGAATTCCAGGTTGGATATCAATTTATGATGTTTAGTGCGCATTACCATCACATTTTCAGATCTATTTAAGCAAAGACTTTAAGAAAGAAATGCAACGAGTAATATTTAATAACTGCTTATACGCAGTCAGGAGCACAGTTCGTTATATTCGACGAGAAAAATGTAGATTTAACAAATTCCATTTCCCCACTTTGCGAGTAGTAAAGCATGCCAAACAACCACTAAAATACCATTACTAGTGAAGTTTCTAACTGGATTTAAATATATATTATTGGAAAAAAATGTACAATTCAAGGTAGAATTTTCATCCCTACTGGAGACTAAAATTACTTTCGGTTCCCACAGTGTGCATAAGATGCATAAGTTGTACAATAAATTATTACTATTTTTACACGAATTAATAGCAGTCTTGAATCTTTCGTTAGAATTTCTATAAATTTGTCCGTACAGTATTGAAATTTTCAAATTTATGTAATTTTTTTAAAAAAAATAACCAAAAACGCGGATTTATTTTGTTCCACTGAAAGTCCCTGGAAAATATTTCCGCGCAGGTCGATGTTCAACCAGTGAAATTCCATCGAAAGAGAGCTCGGTTTGTTTACTAAGGTGCCCTACTTCTTCGTTTCGCCGACTGAGCTGGCGTCCGCGTCTTGGGGTGACCGGCCGAGCGACGGAGCCCTGTTTGCGCGCCCCGGCGTTCATCGACCTAATTGCGACGCCCCACCTCACAGCGACGAGACGAGGAAGTTCGGACGACTTATGGCGTCGCCGCATTTTCTAAGACTAGTGCAGCAACTTCCCAGACACGATGTCATTATGGATTCAGCTAATTCGCATTTCATGTTGAATTAGTGTTATGAAATCCTGTTTCCTTTCGCTAACAAATTAATAAACTAAGTTTGATACAATTTAATATACTCAATTTATTGAACAATTTTGATTTTTTAATTGATGGTTTGCTTTCAAACTATGCCTCAAAAAACAGTCGTATCGCTTCAGCTAGAAAACCAACATTAAAAAAGAAGATTAGTAGATTCACAGCCCTAGGATGGTTCATGGGCAGCGAACCAGCTTCCCATAGTATGATCTCGGGTTCGATTCTGGTCGGGACAAAAATAGAATTGTAGCTTACCTTTAAAATCATTTCAGTTTAGTAGCTGTGTGAAGAATAAAATCTCCGACAGGCGGTATTTGCTAGTAACCGTAAAGGGAATGCGTCATGTTCACCACACACTTATCCCCCGAGGGTGGGAATTCAACTAAGCCCTGGCGTAGGGACGCCATTTGCTGACCGGCAAAGTCGGGCAATCGACATAGAGTTAATTCACGACAATGTTCTAAAACACGATGCAGCAATAGCTTGCAAACTAATTATGCAGTGTCATGGGATAAGTATCTGCAGCAATCAACTTTCACTTATATTTTATAGTACTTTTATGTCAAGTTAATAAAGTGCCTAAAAATCCTAAAATTTCAAATTTTAAAATTCAGGGCCCTTTTCACATGAGAATCAACATAAAATTGATTGAACACAAAAGCAAAAAGAAAATGTAACTCGATAATCAATTGAATGTTGTATCAACATTTCACATTAGAAAGTACAGCTCATTATTAATTCGTAAACAATTTATGCAATTATTTATCTCTCCGCACGCATTTGAGGAGCGTTCTCTCAGTATACATAAGAATGAGTGCTTCCGATTCTTTTCTTACTTTTTTGCTCTATCTGTGGACATTCCTTATTCCTCTTGAAACACGGAGAGACGGTTATCGTGGGGGCAAAATGGATTAAGCGAAACGTCATTTCCAAACCCTCGACTCCATATTCATCTCAGTTTGCAGGCACCCAAGAGGATTGAACACCATCTCACCGACGAACGTGCTCGTAATACGCCGAGGCTTTCCACTTGATGCGTAAAGCATTGATGAATTAGGTAATATGCTTCCACTGGTGGGCTTATCCGACTCCTAAAGCAGCGTATTGTGACCACTTGGGATTATCAAGATACATATGTCAAGACAAGACGTGATATTTCACATATATATATATATATATATATATATATATATATATATATATATATATATATATTCAGGAGTTTGAGAAAATACAAGAACAATGAAACAGTATCAATTATGATTCAAAAATGCAACTACTTAATTGTGTTATTCCCCTTATTCTCATATTGTGAATTTTCTCTAGACAGACTATTCCATTTTAACCTTCCAACGGATTTGCGTTAGTAAATTTTAAAACAATAGCCATTTTTTTGATTTGCTGTCAACTCATTGTTGGCAAAGACTTCTGCGTTCTTGGTATTCCTTGCAGTGATGCATTGACACAGCCACTGTTTAATTTGAACGCGATATTCAGGTTTTGTAAGAGGAAGGTTCGACGACCGCCTTTAATCTGTAATATTCACGTTAACGAAACAGCAAACTTTTTTCATACTCTGTTGACCAAAGTACTGTTTTAGTTAAATTATTTCATGTATTGCCGAGTTCTACGATAGAATTGTATATGTTGATCTTGAGCAGTTGCGTCCTGCTTTTTGGAAAACCATTTTGTGAAGAGTTGTTCAGCACCATTTTGTATGCTCCAGGCCAATACTAACTTGTACTCAAAATATACACATTTTGCAACAACGAACCTGCACTTCCATTAAAAAGCAAGCTTTTCGCTAGTATCTTTCGGCAGAAACGGTTTGGTCTCAATAGAAAAGGGAGATCTCCATGTATGATTTCTGCCTTTAACCTTCCAGCAGGCGCACGTCGTAAATTTTACGTTATTCAATAACTCTTGAATAAAACAAAGAAATGGTAGAACAATGCAATTTATGCCGCATTATAATATCTAAGAATGCTACCTTAGTGTCAGACAATCTTAGAAAAACCTTTATTTCCGAACGCAAAGTATATTAGAATATAAACTCGTCTCAAACTTGAAACTACTTTCACTAAAGAGCTTGTGTTTTTGAAAATGCTCTATACGCTTAGTCACGCCATTCTGGCTATTACTACCTACCAATTTACTACCAAAAGACATATCCATTGATAAACATTCGTATTTAGTATCAGAAAGTTCTTGTTTCGATCCAGTATAATGCTGATGCTCGAGTACATTTTCAATACTCAGGTCACTATCACTATCCAATTCATGATCGTCCTGCCGATATTCTGAATTTCATTCACATGAATTCTTTCTCTGTACATTTTACACAAAATTTCGATAATTAAAATACAAGTTTAGAACAACAGTAGGCGCGCAGCGTTAAGTTTACGTCACTATACACTTATCCTGAATAGAAGGTTACAAAAACTGAATATCGCGTGCACATTAAACAGTGGCTGCAGGAATACATCACTGCAAAGAATATCAAGAACGCAGAAGTACTTGCAAACAATGAGTTGACAGCAAATCAAAAAAATCTGCTATTGTAAATTTATGCACGCGGGCTCGTTGGAAGATTAATATCGAATCATCTGTTTATAGAAAAACTAAACGAGAAATGTATTGATCACATTTTTTACGAACACCTCTGAGAAATGCTACATTACGCAAAATGTACATACACCAACACTTGATTCGTTTGACACTACAACGTGTTTTACTTGTAGAGAATCGATAGCTCCCTCATTGTTGCAGATCTTATTCATTAATGCGCGATAGTAAGCGGTCTACAACTAAAAAAGGAGCACCTCCCACATCGGTGTATGAAATCGGCTCCGCGTACGACGTCCTCGCGGAGAGCGACAGAAGCGACAAGAGAAGGAGGAACTGCCTCGAGAAACGATTCCACATCCCCATGGAAAGGCCATTGTAATGAAATACTACCTTCCCGAGACGACGGTGGAAGGGGAAGCTACCGCGTCCAATTACGTAACGCCGAGAGCCAATGGCGCGCACGGGGCTCGGGCAAGACCTACACGGCGACGAGGGCACATCTTAATCCGAAGGCGCGACGGGGCGATCAGCGAAAGGCCGGTCGGAGCCCTCGGCAGTTAAAAGCCGATGCGTAGGCCACTCACGTCCGCCAGCATATGAACGTGGACGCACGGCGCGGCGCGGCGCGGCGAGATACCTATTGGCGAAGGGCGGCCGGGCCGGGTCACGCAGGGGACGGAACGGTCCTCGTAAACTTTCCCGCAAGGGGAAAAATGACACGGTGGTCGGACGAAGTGAGTCATGTAGCATTTGTTGGCTATATTGCTACGACACAACGTACATGCTGCGCCAGAATTTTAGTCACAAAATCCCAAGTGACTTCAGATTCCTAGATTATGCACTCGGGAACGCGTACCTGATTTAATGTCCATATTGTGCCAAATTAAACAATGATTGACAATGTTTACTGTAAATGTACAGAGGGCTAATAACAAAACACAATAAGATCTGATGACAGAAAAGTAAATTAAGTATTGAGAAACTATGAATTCTTTTAATTAATAAATGTGAATAATAAATTGTAAAAAGTTTGAAGCTTTTATTTGTGATCAAGATTGACATGTATTAACCATAACAGTCGGTCATATTGAATGGCTTATATTTTAAAAACAGAATATCATAGTATCCTTTTATCTATAGTAAACCATAGGAACCATCTCACGAAAAGACTTCTTTGATCCTGATATTCTTCAAAAACAGATCAATGTCAAAATACTTAAAAGGCAATTCTTGATCGCTTTTCACTGCAATGTATTTATCACATTGTAATGTATAATAAGTGGTACTACAAGTGTTACCATTTATGGTAGACATTACATCTAATACGCAACAAATTCATAGTTGGGATGGTGAATAGAGAGTATCGAGCATGTGATTCGCAGCATACTCTCACACAATTTATTACCGTAATTTATTTCAATATAACCTTATTTTACGTTTGTATCCAAACCAAGTTTGAAGAAATGCTAAATCTGCAATCTTTCTAGCTGCTATTATTCACTCACCATTCTTCGAGTGCGTTTAAAAAAATACACCTATCTTTCTTTCAAGTATGCGCACGGATCGACAATATGCTCGCAGAGACGTCCGAACTGGTCTTGCGAGTGAACCGGTCGGCACATTCCAACCATCGGGGAGCGAGTCAACAAACCCCCGCAGTGGCCGCCGCATTCACAGCCAGCGCAGGCGTTCTGCAGACGTAAACAGCGGCCCGCGTCGTGCTGCGTCGTCGCCCGCCACCCCCACCGCCCCCGCCCGCCGCGTCCTCCCCCCCTGCCATGCATGTCCCGCACTCCGGCCCTCTCCCCGCCCGCTCCACGTTTCCATGGCTCTCCCTCTCTGGCACGCAACGCCACGCTCTTCGCACATCCAACGTGACCCACGCCTCACTTTCAAGGATTGATATTACAAATCATGATTCATTTTTGGTCGTAATACGTTTCTCATTGGCTGGGAGGCGTAACAAGAGCAATAATTGCCATTCTTCACCTGAAAACATTCTCACGGACATAATAAATAATAATAATAATAATATAATAATAATAATAATTAATAATAATGAATTGAAACATTTCGATAATTCGTAGAGTGTCACCAACTGACCAAGTGAACTTATGGGTGCAGGAAATGGAGCTGCAAGCCGGTAAGAAACGGATTAGAACGTTTGTACTTACAAACCAGTGGCAGCCTTCGTCAATATATCCACTTAAATGAAAATAGCTGAATTAGAAGCATTGTTGCTATTAATATATTTTTGATCATAAGTAATCACGAAATGGCATTGAAGTGTTCTTTATTATTAGTATAGGCAAAGTACCTTAGTACTTATCAATACCAATTACGATATGATTTTACATTCCACTATTTTCTTCGCACAAAATTTCAATTTAATTGTTACGTGAGAGGAGCATAAAAATAATTAATTGCGAAAGCCAAGAAGTATTATCATAAGTAGTAATGAACAAATGTTTTGTAAACATAATTATATAAAACAGATGTAAAAGTTTTCGGTGTCATTAGACGATGAAAGGGAACCGCTCCGCGAATGGCTACAAATAGGCCTTAAAAGCGCTAAGGATGAGAACGAAGGCAATTAACGTCCTGCAGATGTAGCCATCAGAATGAATGAAACGTGCATGTTAAAAAACAGAAAACCACATTTCTACCGGACAGCAAAATGACTTCAAAAAAAAAGGGGGAGATCAAAAAAGGAAGATAAGAAAGAAAGAACGAAGAAGAGAAAGCAGGAGAGATGAAAGAGAGGAAAGAGGGTGAGAGGGCAAGACGTTTGATGGAGACGAGAAAGATGTGCCCTTCCCGCTTCTGAGGCGCATGGGCCGCGACGCGGAAGAAGCGACTGGCCTCGTGGCGCCGCGCGGCCGCAATTAGCGCGGGGCCGTAACCCGCGCGCGTAACGCGCGGGCGCCGCGTGCGGGCGCCGTCTGCGCGCCGGCCGCGGAGAGGGGCGCGAGGGCCGAGGGCCGGCTCGTTAAGGGCTTGCAGGCAACGGTTGCGCAGCTGGGCGCGCGACGCGCTGGGTCGCCTGAAGCGGGTGCGCGCCGTGTCGCGGCAGGGACGCCCGCTTCGCTCCGTCCGTCAGCGCCGTATAACAAACCTTTAGCCTTCTCTCCTTGTTCCGAAAAGCCCTTCCAAGCTGGCATGCACCGACGAGAGAGACAGAGAGAGAGGGCAGAAGAGAGAGGGAGGGAGAAGGGGAGAGAGATGAGAGAGGGAGAGAGAGAGGGAGTCAGAGGGGAGAGAGAGAGAGAGAGAGGCGAGAGAGAAGGAGAGAGAGGTCCAGTTGGTATAAGAGAGAGAGGGAGAGAGAGAGGCATGAGGGAGAGAGGGGAGGAGGAGAGAGGAGGGAGAGAGGGAGAAGAGAGAGGAGAGAGAGGAGAGAGAGAGGGGAGAGAGAGAAGGGGAGAGAGAGGGGAGAGAGACGAGGGAGAGAGAGAGGGAGAGAGAGGGAGAGAGGAGAGGGAGAGAGAGAGGAGAGAGGAGAGGGAGAGAGAGAGAGGGAGAGAGGACGAGGGACGAGAGAGAGGGAGATGAGAGAGGAGGAGAGAGAGAGAGGGAGATGAGAGGGGGGAGAGAGGGGGAGAGAGAAGCGGGGAGATGAGCAGGGAGAGAGAGGGGAGAGAGAGGGAGAGAGAGAGAGAGAGAGGAGGGCGGGACATACACGTTCGAACTCATTTCCCGCGAGCGAGAATATAAACATGACGCTCGATGCTGGAAGGAAGAAGGAAAAGATGCGGCTTCTGACGAGCAGCGGTGCAAAAAGAGGCCATATGGAACACTGGCAAAAAGCGAGCTGAACACTGGAAGCAATGCCACGAAAGAAAAGAAGTATAATGAAAATCAAGAGGGGGAAATTTGAATAATAAATGTACGGAACTCATTGAAAAAGCTATCAAAGTGATGTCCAAATTTGAGGCATCAAAAGCACAGACTGATGTCAGGCAAAATGCATGTAACAAGTGAGAACAAGGGGTGAGCACAAGGATAGAGATCTAAGAACAGAATTTGGGACAGAGGAAATACATGAGTGGTAAATCGGCAAAACATCATTATTTAAAGTTTGAAAAAAAAAGCATTAGTTATGCAAAGTGTAAAAAAGGTAAAAGGTATTGGGTAATGAAGTGTAAGGCAAACAACTTTAATATAATTATGAAGAAAATGAACATTTATTACTTCGCGCGAGCAAATGAGGCAAATAGATGGAGCGATGGGGCATACCTCATGTAAGTCAAAAACGTACAAAATCTGACGATTATAAAAGACATTGAAATACCCCAAGGAAATAATGTCAGCTGCGGGGAATAATATATAAAAACACATTAATTATCCAAATAAATAATAAACATAAGTGAAGAACGATATAAAGATAAATTTAAAACACGAAATTCTCAAGCATAGTACACCAGACATAAAACCTCTCGAAGTTCTCTGTGTCCACCATAGACCAAATGAAGGGCACTAGAAGGGTCAGGAGAGGGCAGCGAAGAGAGCACAAGTCGTAAAAGAGCGCGGGGGAGGGACCAAGAGGTGGCGGCGAGGCTTTCCGGGAGCAGCCGCGGGGTAGCCCGGCAGCTGGGTTTGTTTAATCGTCTAATTCCCAGTTAGGGGAAGGAGCGGCGACGATCCGCATCCGGAACACAAAGAGCCGCAGTGAGCGGTTGACGCAGTAACAGGATCATATTCATCCGTTGGCGCTGCAGTTATTTTCCTCCCTCGTCGCCGTAATCGGGAGGGGGAGGGCGCGGGGGACCCGGATCGAATCTCCCGGGTGCGTCCGCTCACTTTCAACGTAGCTGCCCACATTGGACAGGAAGTACGTCCGACGACAAGCCTCGTGTGGGGACAGTGTACTCGGTTGTGACAATTTTCACGTGATCGGGAACAGAATATCGTCAATAAATTTTGCCTCTTGGAACGAATATTGATCCATATCTCCATTGATACAAAAATAAAAAAAAGATTCAGATGAATCTCCATACTGGCAAACAATTCAACGGTGATAATGTTCACATCCCTTGCGATGAAACGATGATGAGTGATTATAAGACGCCATCGACACATATGTGCCTAAATGTGCTTCTGGATATGAAATCACCTCTCAGGGGCGCATCAGACAGACTTAAGATTAAGAATGTAAACTTTTGTAGCTTATATTTATACTATGAAGAGTTCAGCACACGCACACGCAAGATACCTTGCGCGGCAACACACGTTACCATCGTGCATAACTCGAACATGGAACATTTCATGTCCCACAGATTCCGAAGTTACCTTCCTCCAATTGTAATCAACAGAGTGAAATACTATTGGAGGTTCTATTACATTTCTTTCCTCCATAGGATGGGTAGGCGCAAATACGCAGAAACTCAATATCTATGTGAATTTAAATTGAGTATTTGATGTGCTAGGACATTTCCACCCACGAAACAAACAATATATCTTTATAAATGATTGGATGGCAATATTAGATGTTTACCCACTCACAGCAAAAGGACTAAAGCCCGGCTGGACAAAGTTGGGTTCCACAATGAAACTATTTACATTTTAAAATAACGATTTACAAATTGCGGGGGCTTCGCAGTGTTCCAACTAGTATTACTTAATTCACATTTTCCCAAACACTTTCCAGCTCTACATTCTCCAGTGATCGTTTACTAATTACTTTCTATGAGACTGTAGTTTAATAGTGAACTAACTACCTTTCATAATTCACAATTCCTCAATAAACCCCATTTAAAGAAACAAATGGCATCACAAATAAATATCTATTTGCAACTAAAAAAATAGTTTATGGATATCGGAAACTACTCTTTTCCTCAATTGTTTTTTTTTAACATCAGAGGAATGAAATAATTACTACATTTGATTCTAGATACGAACAGAGATGTAACCAGAGTCACATTAAGATAACGACTAAGCATTTTAAAAACTCCCGCGCCCGCAACACGTCTAAACGGCTTCCGCGGTACGCTTGGATGTTCAACCGCCCACGCCCTGCCGTCGAATTCGCCTGGCCGCCGGAAACAGTTGCGGCACGTGTTCGCGGGGTGGATATAGGGCTGCGTTGCATCGGCCCGACGGCGGCCACCGCACGGAACGAGACTGCTCTGTTTTTCGGCACACGACACGCCCCGCGCTGGCTGTCGGAACGCGTGCGACGTGACCGCGGCGGCCGCGCGCCCAATGGACCGCGCCCGGACGCCGCTGATCGGTTTTTGGGATGCGCCGCGGTTTTTGGACGAGGGGAATACTAGGAATTCGTTTAACCTTCTTCTCGCGATAGCTTCCAAATCTTGGTGTGTTTCTCACTAACGCATCCTTCTTTTTGCTTTTTTTGTTTTGTTCATATCTCGAGAGCTGCGGACAATAAGCTGACTGCAAATATGAAGTTCAATAGAGAAGTATTAATAACTATTCTTATAACTATTATTACAAAAAATAAAAATTGTGTTTAATAATAATTATTATTGTAATAAAAATGTATTATTACGTGTCGGTAATAGAAACAGTTTTCCCGAAGAACAAAAATGCATTTTTCAACAGAAGGTGAGGCTTAATATAAAGCCTTGTAAGTTGGTAAATTTGTTTACAACTTAACTATATTAGACAAACGTACCTAGGTGAGTGAATATTTTAGCCAACACACTTTTCAGGTCCCAGAAATCGAGTTTGATCTTATCAGAGGTGCTAGAAATTTCGGACCGAAAATCCATAATGGCCATGCAGTTATAGTCTCTGGCGACAAATATGGGAATCAAAATATACCGGGAACGCTGGAAGCCTACAAGGTGTCCCCAGGAAAATTTCCAATAACGTTAGTCCATGTGAGAGGTGAGGCAATGGATTGATGTCTTAGTGCCCGGGCAGTAATGGCCAAAGTTGACAAGCAGAGCAAATGTTTGAAGAAGAAATGTTTAGGAAAGAATTGCATCTTTCCTTACCCTTCTTTTATGTACCCAACAGAACAAATAAGACACGGAAGAGGAAGACATACAGAGAGTAATGGTGACAAGCTTCTTCAAACACGTGCGCTCTCAATTTCCTGTATCCTCAACCATTCAACCTTTCACAACAACTGGAAATTACGGCAACGAGCACATTCTATCCTATCTTTTAATAACAGAATTTTTTCGGTGTAACAAATGTGTTTTTGTGCGATGAAGTTTCGGATTATTATTTGCCTTTATTTTAAAACGGGAAATAAATGCTGGTTTGTTTTATCGTTCTCTGATATGGCATGACGAGAAGCAAAAAGATAGTACAATGATATATCCTCGCAATATTTTTTGAATAATAATAATTCACGAGTGCTACAGGAAATGAATTTATTCTACGAACTTAATTTTCCATGATCAAAATTGTTAATGAAACGAGGATCAAATACTAACAAGAAGAGATCTGAGATCAAATCGTATAGAAATTGAGGGAGGGTAAAAGAAGAACAACAATGCAGAAACATACCTTAAAGATGAAATAACAACAGCTTATTACAAACAAAAAGGCTAAAAAGTCATAGACCGGAAGGAGGAGGGGAGAAAACATCAATCGATTATTTTGGGTTTTCGACCACGTCAACTGCTGAGGTCACTAGTCCCATAAGTGTAATGCCTGTTGTGGCCCGGGAGGTGTCTGTGTTCCTTCCTTGTTGAAATATGATGTTCGACACTGATCTGTCGGCTGCGGGGTTTCCTCTTCCAGATATATCCGCCAGGGGGATACCGTCCCAGCTGGGACAATCTCGAAGCTCTCGACGTGTGTCGTAGTGTAGTCCATGTAACTGTGTGTGTGTGTGTTTGTTGAAAAAAGGGGAGAAGAGAGGACTACAATGGAAAAGATATGATCGTCCACGGTTCGTGACCTTTTATTAAGGTACTTCTCTGGCATTCGCCTGGTAGAAACGAGACCACCAGGAGAATGAGAAGGACAGCAATAAAGAATGCGCAATTGTGTAGAAATGAGTAAAATGACGAAGACCAAGGTGAAAATGTGGAGCGAAGAGAATGCGAAAGAGGAGGACAATATAAAGAAAAACAAAGGTTCCAATTACATAGAAAAACAAAGCAGAGAAAAAAAGAAACACAAATAGAGACCTCCAAAAGTACCTATATTTTTGTAATATTATTTTTTGACTAATGCCATTTTTTGTCAATGCAGTATGATACACAAATTCCTCAATTTATGACTTACAGATGCCCCACGGTTGTAACTTAACTCTTTGAACCTTATATCTCGCAATCGTTTCCGTGGACCTGCGGTTTGCGAAGTATTCCTCATCCAGATATCTCCCACCAGCATGCCACCGCCCCTCCCGGGTCAAGCTCTCATCTCCCGATATGTTGGAAGAGTTGTGCGTGTAGTTACTTAAGTAAGACGTTAGAGGTGAGGATAGAACAAGGAAGAGGAAGGACAGATCGCACGAGCGGTCCGTAGCCCGTTTGTAAGGGTACTGCTCCGGCATTCGACTCGTGCTGATCGGAGAAACCACGATAAACTATCGACCAGAACAGCCAGCCATTAGAATTCTCGTCCATTCAGCGGCTGAATCCGACCAAGCTATCTAGCTAGTGTCGATAATCCAGTCAACTTCAGTCAGTCAGAGACAATGCAGTTGATGTGCTTTGCTACTTCAGCCGGTTTATCATGTCTGATATTGAAAAACTGCAATAGTGCAGAAAAGAAAAAGAATTCAACAGACGAAAGTAGAAAAAAGAGGGCAACAGAATGGGAGAGAAAGAAAGAATGTGCCATCCGGGAAGCGAAGAGAAGACGGCAAAAGGGAGGACTGGCTAAAGCGGAGCGAAGAAGGAGCCAATAATGTAGGAAAGAAAGGCGTCGAGGCGAAAGGGAGGGAGGCGTCGCGCAGCTGGGCTTCCGGGTGGGCGTCGGGTGTCGCGCAGCGGTGGTGGCTGCTAATGACTGGCGGAAGGCGTGCCCGGCCGCTTCGGAAATCCATCAACTCGGCGCTCGCGCCTCCGCCCTCACCAACGCAACACGCGCCGTCGCCACGCCATGCCGCTCGCCAGAGCCCGTCAAAGGGCAAAGCTTTGTCCGCGAGTCAAGCTCCGCGAACACTTCAGCGGTTAATGCGGGGGCAACAGTTGTCACCTGAGCTATTTTAAGGCTCTCGCATGTCACAGCGTGAAAAGTGGCGTCGGGGTGTTTAGAGTTTGAAGGGCCCTATTCAAGAGGAGATTCAGTTTAGTAGTTAAAAAATAAAACCTTAAATGAAGAATCGTCATCGGCTGGAGCGCGGATTTGAGTGCGGACGCCATCTTCATAAAAATTCCTTGTTTATCTGACACTTGAGACCGAAAAGGCGCTTATTGTAAATCCTTTGTAGGAAAAAGTATGCAACATGTTAAAGTAGTTAAATAATATAAGCTGAACGATTGCAGTCACAGTGAAAAAGTAAACTTTAAAAGTCCTCCTCCGATGAAACTTTTTTTTTACTGTTTTGCTCTGATTTTCACTACTAAAATGTCCGTGTCCGAGTTACGACAAGGGAACACACAGTAAATCATAATTTGCCTTTCCATGCCTAATCGTTGCTTAACAAACACAAACACATTTCAGACTTTCGTCAGACGAACCATCTTAAAAATAACTTCCATCCTTTCGGCAATTCTCCCCACAAAAGTATGAAAATCTCAATTGTTGGTCGTGTTTATACATTATACAAAAATGGGGAAGTCAATCAGAAATCAATAAAATCTCATAACGAAAACAATTTCATGCTTTTGTTTAGTTTTAACCCAGAGTAACACGTTTTCAAAAGCTAGAATTGAAACGTGATAATTTTGAGCGAAGTGACACGTGAAGCAAACGCGAGGGTTGCGGCGCACTATAAACGCGCTTGCCCCATATTTTACAATTGATGGGGGGATAATTAACTTTTAAAATGAAAATGTCAAAAACCGTAAAACTTTCTAGTTTTACAACATACGGTAGCAGGGACAGTGGAGTCGACCTGGGTGTGAGTGGGATAATACCATACACAGAACCACTTGGACTCGCTAGACTTTGCTTCCCTTTCAGTTCCTACATACACCATCATATTATTGTTTGTGAATCCTTTGCAGTTTTGTAATTGTTAAATTATTTTATTGGCGCAAATTTTTAAATTTCTTTAAGTGATTACAATTTACAAATTCTGCATTTCAGATGTTATGGTGAGGGAAAGTTTTCCTATTCATTTCCTCGTAACGACACTCTCAATAAGAATATTTAAAAACATTTACCTATTAAAGTTTTTAGTACCTTGATTTGAATTTCAGTAAGGATTTTCATTCGCTTTGCAAAATATATGCACAATAAATGGCTTAAGATTACAGACGGAAGAAAATAAACCATGAACCCACTGACGAGAAGTCACAATGTGGATTGGCGCCATGTGGCCCGACATGTAACTTTAGGCTATTTATTTTTAAAGTACAAAATAACATGCGCCGTTAGTAAAATGACCAGAACGAACGTGTCTTTGGCATATTGCGAGGCTAGAAATTAAAAATGATAATTTTATTGAAACGTTCTGTGTTACAGTGTTATCGAAATGCCACCAATTAACAGAATAACGGGAATCAATAGTGCTGCTATTTTCGAAGCACTTTCGTGTTATCAAGAGAGTGAGCCGTATTACAGCTTCCAAAAATAAGTATACAATATTATGTTATTTTCGCATGATAGTAAGTGGCACAATCAAATTAAAAAAGGAGTTCATTAAAATGTATCTATATAATTAAAATTTCAAAAATATATCATTTTTGGTGTTCAATTCTGGCAAAACACGAAAATTAAAATTTTAATATATAAATGATTGAAGTCTCAAATACATGTATCATACGCTTTATAATAATTGACGGATTAAACGAAAAATAGTTGAACTTACGCCATTTTTCGAACGGAGAAACACGTTTTAAAAAGAATTTTTTTCGGAAACAGGCACCCTTACAATGATTATTTCCTTAAAAATCTCAACATCAATTGTTCACAGAATTGCATAACTTTCCCCCAAAGTTTCTTATATACTTTCATACATACATCACACATTCTTTCCCCACTCACTTCAAATAAACAAGTATTCGAAAAAGTAAAAGGACACAACGTGTACACGGAATTTTTTAAAAACGGACATAGAACGAAATTCCAAATGTAATTTAATATATGAGTCCCATCAAATTTAGTTTCTCCACACAGAACTCCACATTAATTCTGCGAAAGCATGTTAGAAGCCACATATGTATGAATGGTACGGATGTAATGTTGCTATGAGGATGAAAATCGCAATGTTTTAAAATATTGTTAGTGCACTTCTTTTTAAAGCATATTGATGTAGAAACCCATTCGTACTCACCTAGCGCTGAGCACTGCAGGATCTTGTGACGGCCTTCGCTGACGACGGGCGTTGTCGATGAGGGCTGCGTGATGAACCGTGGCGCCGTCGTCGGCTCTGCAAACAGGAAGAAACTTTTGTCAGCGACAAGAACCTAAGCAGCGCATCTTCCCAAACCAGACCAAAGTAAAATGCATCTAACAGCGGCAAAAAGAAAGAATTAGAGCAATGACAGTAAACACAGCTCAATGAGGTGACCGTTATTTAGAACCTATTTATTCCACCTATTTTCTGTCGTCGCAAATTTGTCGTTTATCTTCTACACAACAAACGAAACCTACTTTTTAAACGTTAATTTCTTTAAACTTTACAGTAGGGGAAGAGGTTACTCAAATACAGATATATGAAATATTTTAGGATAAACAATAGATTGAAGCAAAATAAAATAAGGAAATATGAGTATTTCCTTAATTTCTTAAATAAATGTATACAATTGCGCCATTACCTCAAATTTCTAAATAAACCTCTAAATAATAAATAGAGATAATCTTCAGATTAAATTGTTAAAAAGTAATAAGAGAAGTCCACTGGGAATCATTGGCGTAATGTATCATTTCTATCGGGGCAGGCAACATTGTTGTGAACGCTCTGAACAACTGCCACTACTATAACAGATCCACAGGAAAGTACTCGTCAATATCGAAATTTATTTCCATGAGTGCTACAAGTAAGTTTTTGGAGATGCTTCAATTATCGATGCAATCAATCCAGAGTCTGCGCATATTGATAATATAAATAAACATTTTAAAGAAATTTTATGAACATGAAAATTTATGAAGACGTTTTATTAAAATGAATAAGTTTGATTTTTTCTATAGTTTATGCTCGTGTAACATTAAATGACGTACATATTTTCCACATCTGACCTAGAATAAACTTCTTCACGCAATGGACATGAGCTGGGAGAAAAGGGATTACCTGATTGTGTTGTATTCGCAGAGGAAGTCGTGCCACAGAAATATTATCTTGGGTTACGTCGAGTATTTGTGAAGACCACGAAACACTCTTTGAAATCGCGCAAACACAATCGTTTGAACACACAAAAGTCAAACCAACAAACACATTATTTTCTATCAACTAACAAATTTACTTTAATATTCCATTTACTCTGCTATTATTTCCTTTTGCTCATAGTATAACGAATAGTATAACGAAATGTATATTCTATCAACTTTTAGCTTTCAACCATGCATTTTAAGCCAATGATCATAGGGCAAGTCTTACACCCAATGCAACACGATTGATTGAATGATTGATTCGGAATTCCGCGCGTCAACTGCTAAGGTCATCAGTTTTGTATACGTAGTGATTGTTTTCCCCCTCGGGAGGTAGCGTTGATCTTCCCCTGCTAGATGGCTAGAACCAGCGCCTACCTATCAGCGAGCGGGTTTTTTCCTCAACCAGGTATCGCCCACCAGCGGAGCACCGCCTCAGCCAGGACAAGCTCTAAACTCCCGTCCGGTCTCCCGGCAAGTATATTAGTGTATGTAAGTTAGGGGCGAGGACAAAACACGGATGGGGATGGGGAAATGGCGCGCGGGCCATCGCCCGTTTGTTACGGTGCTGCTCTGACATTCTCCTGGTATTGATCGGAGAAACCATGGAAAACTACAGATTACAGCAGGCTACTAGAATTCTCCACCAGTCAGCGACTGAATTCGACATAGCATAGTGTAAGAACTCCTGTTATCATCGGCACTCGAACCTAAGACCTCCCGGTTGGAGGCATTGAAGTGGCAACAGTTAATCCCCTGAGCCACCTCTCCCGGTGCATATGCAAGCAACATCATCCACCCACCCCGAAAAGCACACAGCGAGAAGTCGCCGGCCGGACCATTTACGCGCAAAAGTCGAGGATCCACAGACCGGGTCTAACGAGCCGGATAGCCAGCGAGGATGGGCGGTGGACCGAAGAGGGGTCNNNNGGAGTGGCGGTAGCCCCGCGGGGGAGTGAGCAGCCGCCCGCGTGATCGATGGGAGCACCCATGCCCGCGATATTGCTCGAGCGACCACGCGATTCAGACGCAGAAAGCGGCAAAGCCATCGGAACGAGTTGATGTAACCAATTAGCCTCCACAATTTAATAAAAACGCGTAATTCGGAGCATTTCGAGGCTGAATATTGACTAACTGAGATTGCGCCTCCTACTCCTGCTCGGTGGCCCGGCCCCGTGCAGCCGCCAGACATCTTTCCGATATCGGAAGCTGTCGAGTCGTTTCAAAAATGTTTCGCAAACGTGAGGGGACTTCGAATCGCATCATTTCCTGCTTTACTGGGACAATTCTGAACCTTCAATCCGAAAAGGGTAAAATCAAAGGTCTCAATTCACATAAAACCAGATTCATGAAATAACGTACACTTCCAAGGAACTTTCACCTAATTCTAAATGATTTGCTTAAAAACGAAGTATGTGTGTTGTATTTATAAATTTGACAAAATAAACATTTATAGCCACACATTTGTCTTTTTGTTTCTTTAAACTTTTTTCTGTCAAATAGAGGTTTGTTTCATACTTGGGACATTTCGTCAATAACCATTTGAATAATTAACCATCAAGGAAATACGCACTGAACGACTGAGAAAGCAATAAGGGATGTTTATATGAATTTGCAGAGAGCGACTCGACTACTTTATTGACACTTTTAAGCACTTAAAATTCAATTTTTAGAACTTCGGTTCGAAAGCCTAAATAATGATAGAGCATCCTTGATCGTTTAACGCCACACATCAGCGGCGCAAGAAAGAAACACAAGACTTTGTTTACCCAACTTGTTTACCCTATTGGTAAACATTACAACTTCATGTGTGCGTCAGGAAATGCGACCTGGGGAATAGGAAAACGTTCCACAGTGGTGTAACTACTTTTCCAGCCTCGGAATTTTTTGACGTTGGCCAAGTTCACAGAACGCGCCGAGATAATAGTCACTACCTGTGTACGCTACCACGGCAAACTCGAAGGCTTTGTTCTGTTATTGCAACCTTTGACTGCAACCATGTTATTGTTACATTCGCCACACACGACAATTGAGTCGAGGTTTGTGGATTTACTTTTCGAAATTATAAGGGAGGTTTTCACCATGAAATTCTATGATGAAAGACAAGAGGAATCCGCCACAAATTTGCCTTAATTGTCAATGTTTACTTGTCTAGGAAATAAACTATTAGAGAACCGGTAATTAATTGGCTACTAAAGAAAATTCACTGAGGATAACAGGGAGTATTTGAGAGGAACAAATAAGAAAAATAATCCGAAGTAAAGAGCGATATCCCATCTACTACTTAGTATTTCATCAGGTGGCAATTCTAGCTGCACATTATATTCGTATTTAGTCTTTAAAACTTGTGATCACTTACAGATATACTTACAGATATACTATTTTATAAATATAGAGAAAACCGTCTGTTACGTTTGAATGAAGGAACTTGAAATACGTACAATTTTTCTTCATCACGACTTCGTGAAAGGTATACGGAATACACTGTATTTCCTAAATTTTCAAATTGAACCCCCAAAAAGCGATAAAACATATGGTAAATCGAAAAAATACGAATCTATAAAATGGTAGAACGATAATTTAACAACCAACGAGCCTGACAACTGAATTCACTAAAATGTTTCATAAAGAATGCACCAGATTCAAAACATGTCATAGGACACGGAACAATCAACATTCGCTTGGCTCAGCCGACGTACATTCTTCGATTACTCAAGTCAGATTTGAAGTTCGACAGATACGTGGTTTATAGAAAGAAACAAAATTTTACAATCCAGCAGTACATACTATACTACCTAACCGCCAATCTATTTGTAGAAGGCGTTTAAATCCAATAAGTAACTCCAGCGATGTTATTAACCAGAATCAAGTTTAGAGCGCTGTGTAGTTCTATCTGCACCACAGCAGACAACGCCCACGCCGCCGGGTGCAGTGGAACCGCGGGACGCGTCACGGCTGAGTCGCGGGGCAAGGGGCAGAACGGTGAGGACGTCGGGAGCAAGGAGAAAGAGTAGGCAGGAGGGGGAGACAGCGTCCGCCCTCCAGCCGGACGAGCGGACAGGCGACCGGGAGCGGGGGCGGGGGCGGGGTCGGGGGCGGGGGCGGAGGCAGCGGCGTACATTCCTACGGCGTTCCGCACCGCTGCACTGCGGGCCCGGTGCAGCAGCGCGCGGCCGCGCGGGTGGGAACGGCGGCCGCGGCGGCTGCTGGTCATTATGGCTGTGACGATGACGCTCAGACGAGGCGACGACGGGCTGAGATGCCGGTTGTTACCGCGAGGCAGTCGCAGACGTCGACAGCGATGCGATTGACCGGGATCGTCGATGGAAAAACCACCATTAAGCGTTTTGCGAATATGATAACTTAAGTATAGAGTCTCGATGGTAGCAGATTCTAGCGATATATCCCGTACGACGAGTCTATAGAATTGTTGAAATTTTCTAGTTTAAAAGTTGCATATGTGTGCATGAAAACGTTAATTATTTGGGACTAGAAAGCCCATATTGATAAGATTGTTGATAAGATAATGTTTCTGAATAAATACGAGAACTGTCTCTTTGAGAGTAGTTCCTACAGCAATGCAATATTTACAAGCAAACATTCATTAGTGTTCAATTCGAAAAAAAGAACGTGACACACATTGTATTCTCCGCAAGAAAACTATGCCGTTTTGCAAAATTCTACAACTCACAGAGACCACATTATTAAGATACGGCCCCCAAATGATGGAAATTTTATACCACAACCAGCGCGAATTCACCATCGCCGCCACTTTGGCCTTGTTCTAGCACTTTTGCCCCTCGCCTATGCTAAATGTCCACAAACTTATGCCAATAAGGTTTTTAATTTTCTATAAGCCGAATGGTGTGAATGAACAAGTTTCTGAAAAGATGTTTCACGCTGAAAATGTAACTACTAATTGTAATTTGTTGAGGATTTATTTATTTGAAATTTTTTTAAAAGAATCATTTCTTCCTTTTTCAAAATCAAGGAACTTACTTGTGCTCAACTCGTAGTGTCCACAGTAAAGATCATTCTCGAAAGTAGTATAGAATAAAAATTTTGATTCAGACAATTAAAAAATCAAAATTATTCCGAAAAATACAACAAAAAAACTGCAACCTCTAGATCTGTACTTCTATTTCTCGCCTTACTACGTATGTAATAAAGAGAAAATACTCTTGTGCTGTTGCAAAATCGACGAATTTTAAACAGAAAAACTCGTATTGTGGGGCCCTGATATCGAAACAGTGAATACATTTTGTTCCCATATGTAGTAAATTACTTTCTCGTCTACATGTAGCCGGAATCCACGTTTTTTGGGTCCTCGACACCCCAAAAATTGATCAATGGAAAACGTCAGTCTGACTGTCTGCGGTCAACGTTAGTGCCTAAATCGTTCAGACGATTTTCTCCAAAAGTGATATTCCCGGATCTGAACAAACTTGAGGCTCTGCGAGTTCACACGAGATATTTTGATTTTAGGTGGTACTTTACATAAAGCCGTAACATTTTCAAAATTTTCTAAAAAATGACTCGATTTTTTATCCCCCCCTCGGAGAGCGTAATGAACGCTTTAGAAAAAAGGCACCAGACCTTATTTTCATCGAAATCTTAAATTCTTGACAATTGCCAAAGTTTAAAAACTTTTTCAGTACCCTGAACAAAGAATGTAGAATAAATAACTTATAAAGCCTGTACTTGAAAAAGGAGGGTATCCTGTTGTCGCTGCGGCCTAAGGTTGGAATACAGCGTTCTAGCTGGCCCAAGCAAGCGTGGAATCCAAGCTCGTGAGTTACTAAGGACCTTAACTGAACGCGGTCTCCATCAGTTCTAAAATTTTCCAAATTGGCACAGCTTTTTGCGAAAACGCAATGGTATGCGTAATTTATTTCTTTTTTTTACTTTTTCGAATTTGACACTAGTGAAAGTTTGCTTCTTTGATTAATCCCAGCCTCCATATTTTGACAAGTTTCCCATTCACAAAGACTTTAAATAAGTTAGGGACGAGATTTATCTTTTTTTTAAAACAAAATCAGATAATGGATATACTGCGTAAGTTTGTTCCTTTCGAGGAACAATCGAAAACTTCCAGAACCTTAAACGAATCTTTCTCAAAATGCATAAATCTTCTATACTATTTACAAGAACATTTAGGCAAAAGTTTATAAACATAATATAAATATTCTCGTCAAATGTTTTCTTAAAGGGACGTTTTGTAAAGAAATGTTTTCAGACTGTCATTCAATGAATTAGTTACGCCGAAAACCCCATCTGCGAAGGGCGAGTAAACACAAGCCACCCTGTGTCGTAGCAAAAGGTAAACAGTGGTGTCAGAGTGCCGATGGAAATGATAACAGTGAGGTAGGGGTGTAGCACAAGGGGTACTATTTCTCGCCCTTGACTCTGTTCTACCATTTTTCTGATTCTGCTTTATCGTTGATATTGTACCTCAATCATTAAACCACATCTTTCACCACCATCATTGTTCGAGGACGCCTGTTGATCTCACTCAATTGTAGCTCGCCTTCCAAACAATCCACTGCAAGGTTTACGTTGGTCAACATAAAGTAAATACTAATATGCACATCCTGAAGAACATGTTCAAAATTGAAGAGTTAAAGATAGAATTATTTTTTTCTGTTCATGTTAACGCACTTCAACCTAAATAAATCAGCCCCTTCGGGTACACGTCGGGAGAGCAAAAAACTATTTTAACCTTGAGTGTAAGAGTGTGTCATTTTTAACTATCGTTAATTTTCTTATATTCCAGAAACAATGCAAAACGAGTAAGGGAACACGCGTGCTTTCTTATTTTCAATATACAGCCTATCAACGAGACTAATTGTATGCGTACTGAGCAAAAACAATGGAGCGAACTACTGCCGTCACTGGGTCCGTCATCGCGTCTTCCGAAGTAGGCACTGTTCGCCTGTTTACAATGGACGCGGGGAGCAGCGCAGCAGACAGAGCGAGGACTGGCTCTGGGAGGGAGGGCGGGGTGGAGCATGGAAGTGGGCGCTGAGGACAAACGGGGATGGGGAGGGAGAGTGGAGATGTGAGAGGCAGCGGGGAGCGGGCGAGTTTTGTTCGTCCAATTAGTGGCAGCCTCCGCCCCCTCTTGAGACTGGGAACCTCTTTCGCCCTGGCCCCCGCTACAGCCCAGGTCGCCTGGAAACACGCGGCTGACGCGCGAGGTTTCGCGAGGAAGAATTCTCTAATCGAGTTTTAATCCGCGTCCGCCCGCTCGCGCAGGTGCCGTGGGCGGAATCCCCGGCGCCGCTCGCGTCAATGAGCTTTGTTCCACCCAATGCCTGATTGAGCGAGCGCGGAGACGAGCTTACAGCGCGGAAAACAACACGAAATCATCTCACAGAAGATTCCACGCGTCTTGCGGGGCTGAAGGTGTATTTAAAGAGCAGCACATCCAACAAGGAGGTATTTACGAAAAGTACGCACTAATGACTATTTCAAAGAACCCCAGATAAAGATGTTAGAGTTTCAGAGTGTGTAGTTAATTTCTCAGTAATAAATCACATACGATTAATATGATATTATATAATCAAATATCATGAAGTAATAGTTCATCATAATATACAAGAGCGTAATGTACGGTGTTTAATAGTCACCAATAAATGAAATAGTAAAGTTCATCAGTTCAGGTCGGAACGCTATTTCATTGAAATAACTTGTCGCACACATAAAGTAACTGTGAAGTATTTTGTTAATAAAACAGCTTCTCGATAGGATTACACGAAGTTAATCTGAACAAATGCGTTAAAATGATGCTGGACCACTCACTTGTCACCTGGCTCGTTTTATATTTAATTAAGCTGGGGCGGGGCTTTGCGGCACGCCAATATTTCGTCGAAAACAAACCGTTATCTCGGAAACTAGATTTATATAAAATATTCATTAAAGCCACAGCATGTTCGGAAATCAGACTTCGGTAAATCTGACAGCGATGATGTGCAATTCAACTCTCCATTTTGACAAAGGCATAACGTAAACCAAATAAAAGTAGGCTAAACCGTAAAATACGTATTTTAATATTGTTGACATTTCTTCCCAAGGGATGTAATCAACCCGTGCCGCATGTGACTTCTCCAGAGCACTTCCATGTCGCTCCGACCACTTGCAGAATCCGGCGACTCCGCACGGCTACGTAACTTCCGATTTGTTGGGCGCATTCGATCGGGCGGCGCTCTCTATAATTCAAGAGGGAATCTCAGGGCCCCTCGAGCCGCTTGCCGCCGCCTACCTCTACCCGTTCCCTCTGTCTTCCTGCCCGCTTCACTCGCACTCATGAACACTCACCTGCAGCCGCAACGCGCCCCCTCAAGCTCATACAAGCCAAGCATTTACTTATAATTAGAGACCAGAAAATATGATGAAACGTCACAATATGTACATAAATATGTAATGAAAACAGTAAGAATATGTAAAAAATATGTAAAATCGGATATAATATGCAATCTTAATATACACTAATTATAAAACATTTACATTATACGAAATTACATTGATAAAAAAGTTTCCTAAACAAATTTTAAAACTACATAATTCAAACAGGAGAACACAAGTTGATATACACTTTGCACCATGGTGCAAAGTGTGTAACTTTCCCAGCAGTTGTAAAAACTTCATCCATTGCCATCCAGAATTGTAGTTTAACAG